AAAAGTGACTGGCCATCTGGATGAAAAGCATCCTTCTTGAGACTTGTTTTTTTTTTGTACCACATTGTCAGGTTAAACTTGCTCACCTCGTAGAGCTCCACGGTTGCATTTTCAAAGCTTGAGACCAAACTACAGATGCATGCCACTGTGGTGCTCTCCCTTCAATAAAACAAAAATGCAGAGAGAGACACTTTTTTCAGTTGTATTTGCATTTTTTTTCCATGACTTTCTGTCTAAATGTTTATAATTTTCCGTTTGGAGGGTTTGTTTTTGTTTTGGTATATTTAGTCGTTCCTCGTCCTGGGCTCAGTGCCCGGTTGACGGACAGTCTCTAATTAGCTCAGCAGAAATACATATTTAGAGCCGTGTGGCTTTGGAGACTCTCTTTATTTAAGTCACCAGGGAGAACAATGGAGGAAACAATGGGTGCACGCTGCAGGCAAGGTCTCCAGTGCACCGACTCGGTGCAAATCTTTTGGAAAAGATTGTCCAGTTTGAATTTAAATTGTGTAAAACAAGTATTGCAAAAGTATAAAAATTATTATTTCACTGACAGGGGACTGATGGGTTTTTATCTCACATTATGAACAGCTGTAAAACCATGTCTGCTAGGATTTAGTTTAAGCAAATGTTCTTGGCACACTCATGCTCAAACAATAATGAATCACAGCCCAAATGATGAATATTGTTGCTGCTTATAATTAACACAAGTGTTTGTTCCCCTAATCATGGCTGACATGGCTGATTTAATGCATAATAATAGACATTTGGGGAACAGGCTATTTCAAACTCCCTGTGGCAGTGTTGATAAGAGGAAGCTGTGTCTTAACTCTGATAGCTGGTTTTGGTTCATGTCCTTTCTTCAGACAGGCCTGTGCAGGAAGTGTGGGTGCGGCTGGCAGACTTTTTCCTCGGCTCCCTGCTGAGAAACGCTTAAGGAGTGAAGCTTGAATCAAAGCGTGTACACTTTCACTTGTCTGTGGTTCACAAATGACTAAGCAGCAGGGGACACTACTGATTCCTCACTACATTTGAAAGATTTATTCACATAAATCCTACAGACTGTTTTAAGAACATTCTCCCTGAAGGTAAAGTGATCTTCTATTCCTGAAAGGACACAATTTAAAGTGAAGAATAAGAATAAGAAGAACTTTATTTATCCCTGAAGGGAAATTCTATTGTCTGTTGTTTCACATAATATGTCTCTAAAAGTTGGTACAAAAGATCTTCTGAATCTTTCTGTCCTGCAGCGAAGAGAGAGGAGCCGTCCACCACCATTGGCCCTTTGGTCCATCAAGATGTAGTGAAGTGGGTGATCCATGTTCTTTGGAATAGTCTCCACCTTCCTCAGTGTAGATCTCTCCACCACATCCTCCGCTGAGCCCAGCTTGCAGACTGCAGCGTAGAACAGCACACTTACTACCACAGACTGATAAAACATCTGCGACGTCTTACTACAGATGTCTATTGATCGGAGTCTTCTCAGGCAAAAGAGGCGGCTCTGCCCCTTTCTTAGACCAGTCCAACTTATTATCCAGATGTACACCTAGATATTTATATGGTGTCACCACTTTGATGTCCACTCCACAGGTGTTCTCTGGCTGAAGAGGGGGTTTGGATCTACAGAAGTCTATGACCATCTCCTTTGTCTTTGAGGTGTTGAGGAGGAGGCAGTTTTTGTGACTCCAGTCACTGAAGGCTCTTATCAGATCTCTGTATTCAGTTTCTTGTCCATTTCTGATACATGCCACAATAACGGTGTCATCTGAGTATTTCTGGATGTGGCAGGACTCAGTGCTGTATTTGAAGTCTGACATATACAGTTTGAACAGGAATGGCGCCAGCACTGTCCCTTGTGGAGCCCCTGTACCGCTCATTAATGTCCCAGAAACACAGTCCCCCAGCCTGACAAACTGTGGCCTTCCTGTCAGGTATTCTGCAACCCAGGAAACACAGGAAGGATCCACTCCCATCTCTGTGAGCTTGTCTTTGAGTATGCTGGGTTGGATGGTGTTGAATGCACTTGAAAAGTCGAAGAACATGATCCTCACATGGGGCTCAGTTTGATAGGGGGCCAAAATAGCACAAGCCTAATCCTCTGAACAACATAGCACCGTGGCAAGGGGTGGCTGTGAAGGTCTGAGGTTCAATCCCAGGTCCCATTGTCCACATGCCGTTGTCCACATACCGAGGTGGTCTTGGGCAAGACACTTGGGGCGGCAGTAGCTCAGGAGCTACAGCAAATGACAAAAATGGTGAGCACTCCAGAAGAACCCACACCAGAGCCTAATGGACTACGTATGATCAGGAGTCTGATGCTGTCAGGAAGAGGCAGCTGTTTAAAACTTGAATCTTGTTCCTACTTTCTGCTTTAGGTGAAACTTAATGCAGTCAGCTCTTGTTAAAGCAGTCCAAGGTGAAGTGGTTTACACACATAAATCAGTCTAAACTGTGGCCGACACATCATTATACATGAAAAGAAACCACAGTTGTCTTTTGTCCCCGGCTGGTGGCACAGAATAGAAGAGTTTCATGTAGGTTTTCACAACCGACAGCAAAACCACAGTAGTATAGGGGAGAGCATAATTACTAGAGGTAGTTCTGCATGCAAAGAAGTCCTGTAGTTACATATGTCATCATATAGGTGCAAATTTAAATCACCCTGTGGAAGCTGGGAAGTGAGCTGCAGGAACAATGCAAAGTCTTTTTTTGTGTCACAGTCTCAGGGATACCAGGATGGCGATTGGGAAAAGTATGTTGACAAGGAAAATTAGTTTTTCATTATACTGGACCATTTATGGATTTTTCATCCAATCATGTTAGAGATGTTTCAATCCAGGGCAAAATGATTTTCTGTTCAACAGACTGATATTGACACCCATACAGATTTTCTTAATATGTCCAACAATAGAGTCAATCTAAAATAGGAAGTGTGGTCAGTCAGAATAGATCTGGGAATTTACATCTGACTGAAAATCTCATGGATCAGCAGACCGAAATAGAAAAAAGAAAACACATAATATGTGAAAGATTGCCTATCTCAGCATTACTGCAACCTAGTATGACCTGACTCCATCTGACTGGTGCCAATGAAAAAACTGGTTGTGTTCATCAGTGAACCAACAGGTTTTTAATTCTCTGTAACTCAAATAAATACAAGTATGATAAAATCAAATAAATGGACTTTTTTCTGTCTTGGAGGGAATTACTCTCCAAACTGTTAATCTGCACAGGACTGGATTCAATCTCTGCTTGGACCAAACATCTTCCGTCTCAAGAACGACAGGTTCTTAAAACAAATCTGTGGCATTTCCTCGATAAATAACTGGAATATTTGTACAAATTAAAACAGTTCACTTATTCCAAGTCACATCTCATTTTCTGAACAACTCCTCTGTTACAGTGTTTAGTAGCTGACACTAAAGCTCTCAATCTGACATGTTTACTTCCCCGTCTGAGTAAATTCGTCCGCGTTGACCTGCTCCCATTATATTCCTCTATGTTCCCTGTCACTCAGCAGACGGCGGCCAGGCCCAGATGTGTAGGTGTAAACATGGCGGTAATTAGGCCAGAACTCCCTCTGATCTTCTTTCAAAGGCTCTGACCGGCTGCAGACACACCCTCTCTCTCACGACCCCAACACCCAGCCACTGACCAGCCCTACACCCAAGGCAAATATTTGGGGAAATAGCAATGAACCCGTTTTTTGTAAATACACACATACATCAGTTTGTATTACCAGCCTTGTGAGAACAGTCCACTTATTATCCCAAACTTTCATGTTTTTCTTAACCCAGCCTGGCAGAAGGATCTCTCCAACTGGGCTCTGCAAAACAATCCTGTTTAAGAGTTATTGTAATATTACTAAGATTTAGATTTAAAGGATTGAATGTGAGTGGGTAATGAAGCATATCGACTTAGAAAACCACATTTTTGTGCATGAAGTTTCTTTTCCAACCCAGCCAAGAGGATGATCATGTTGGTCTGTTTGCCTGATGTTTAGCCACTTTTATCTGCTCTTTTGATATGTGAGTGACCGACAGTTCACATGATCCACAGAAAAAGAACCTCCACATGTCCAAGGGTGGATGTCCATGAAATTAGGTACAGGCCTGCAGTGACTTTTGTGATTACCTGACTTTTCAAGCATGTATGAGCAAACACACATATTGTATCACCATGCTGATGTTTGCACAAAGCTCAAACAAAGCTGAACTGCAGGACAGCAAAAAAAAAAAAAAAAAAAAAAAAAAATCCCCAGCTGATTCTGATTATGGAAAGCAACAACAGGAATATAATATTAGCCACAGACTCAGACTTTACTTTTATTTTGTTATTTTTGTATCTAACAATCTGAAATAAGAAAGCTATCTTAAAAACTCCTCTCAGCTGTCGCTTAAAACTAGAAGGACCGGCTTTTTGCTGTTCTACCTATAAAGACCAGAGGGCAGCCAAATGGCTTGGAGGGATTTTAGCTAGTACTAAATCACCTCTGAACACTCAGTTTGTTATGCAAACGAGGCTATCGCTGGTGCACCACAGGAGGGGATATGCTAAGTTATTTCAAGGAAACTTGTGTTGTGGGGAGAGTGAGTGGGGAGGGGGAGGGGAGTTTCCAACCTGAGAACAACTGTAGACAGAAACTGCTTCAGCCATAGCCACTGCACAGACAGTTTGGGCCTCTGTTTGTTTTGTTTGGTTCTACTTCTCCTGATGTTCCTGCACCTCAGCAGATGCCCCAGCGGTCGGTCCACGGACAAAAACTGTTTGTACTTTATATTAATGACATTGTAAATGTATCTAAATTGTTAAATTGCATATTGTTTGCATATGACACTACATTTTTTATACACTGGTGAAGCTGTTGAGAGTATGAATGTGAGAATGACCATAACGACTCAGGTGAATGCAACCAGTCCCATTCACAGGATCACTATTTGATTGACAATTTATCACATTTTCTGGTTTGCTGGTGAGCAAACCTGGGAAACCCCCAGATCATGGCAACCATGCCCCGAAGTCGCTTCAAAGACATCATGCGACACCTATGCTTTGATGACAGGGACACCCGCAGTGAGCGCACAAAGACTGACAAGTTTGCTGCAATTTCTGCTGTGTGGTCATCATTTGTCACCAACTGCATCACATCCTACAACCCTGGTCGACACATCACCATTGACGAACAGCTTTTCCCCTCAAAGACTCGCTGCTGTTTCCTGCAGTACATTGCAACGAAACCTGACAAGTTTGGGATCAAGTTTTGGGTGGCTTGTGACTTGAAATCCAAGTACATCTGCAATGTCCTCCCATATCTTGGCAAGGACCCCAGTCGTCCCAGTGGGGAGAGACTGTCCGAGAATGTAGTCATGAGGCTGATGGAACCATTCCTGGACAAGGGCAGAAATGTTACCACGGACAATTTCTTTACATCACTGTCACTTGCGCAACAACGGCTTAGGCGGAAAACCACCATCCTAGGCACAGTCAACAAGATTCGCCAGGAAATTCCACAGTCATCTAGACAGAGGGACAGCAATGAACTTTACAATGCTACAAAGTGCAGCGTGGATGTGATGGACCAGATGGTGCGGGAGTACACTGTCCGCACAGGAACATGGCGCTGGCCAGTCGCTGTGTTCTATAACATGATTGATATGGCAGCATTGGATGCACATGTGCTGTATCAAGCATGCACCGGGAGGAAGGAGAGACGGGTGGACTTCCTGGTGGAGCTTGCAAGAGAGTTGGCTAACTCTCATGTGACTGCGAAGAAGGCATGAAAGAAAGAATTGCTTCGGCAACAACCTTCCACACCTAGCCCTGGGAAAAGAGCCATGTGCCAGGTTAAAAAATCAGTGTAAGAACAATCATGCCACTGTGCGATGTGTTGACTGCTACAGATACACATGTGGGAAATGCAGAAGGGAGATACCATGGCAGTGCCAGGATTGTGAGTGAGAGTCTAACACTGTATCCTGATGATGCATATTCACCTGAAGTCCATCACCAACCTTTTTATACTTTATATATGTCCTGCATGCTCTTGTTATTTTCTATTCTTGTATTTTACATATTATTCTCCGTTTAATGTTGCACCATCACGCCGTAAAAAATCCTAGCATTGTACGTAGCCTTTCATACTTTTATTCTTTACATATGTCCTGCATGCTCTTATTTTTTATTCTTGTATTTTACATATTATACTCTGTTTAATGTTGCACCATCACGCCGTAAAAAATTCCTAGTCTGTGAAACCTGTTCATTGACAATAGCAATAAAACCCCTTGTGATTCTGATTCTGATTCTTGTTCTTATTCTATACAGTTGTTTAAATTTTGTTTATTTTTAATCAATAAATTTCAGCAACAAAGTAAACAACCCATGTGTGTTGATCCCTTCCTTTCTGTTGTCCCTTCCCACTGCATACACCACTTAGTCCAGTCCCCTCCTGTGGTGCACCAACGATCACCTCGTTTGCATAACAAAAGGAGTGCTCACAGGTGATTTAGGATATTAGCTAAAATCCTTCCAGCCGATCGGCTGCCCCGTGGACCTTGAGGGGGGTAAAGCCAAATGGCTGCTCTGTGGTCCTTCTAGTGTTAACCCTAACCCTAACCCTAACCCTAGCCCCAACCCTAACCCTAACCCTAACCCTAGCTCCAACCCTAACCCTAACCCTAACCCTAACCCTAGCTCCAACCTTAACCCTAACCCTAACCCTAGCTCCAACCCTAACCCTAACCCTAACCCTAGCTCCAACCCTAACCCTAACCCTAAGTAAACTTTTTAAAAAGCTTCCCCCAGAATAAGGTTCTATAGACTCCCCGTGGCCTGAAACGTGCTCCTAACACAATTCTGGAAGGTGAAAAATTGGGTTGGCACTTAAAAAATTTTTCAATTTTTTTTTCCCATGCATTCCTATGGGAAAAAATCAAATTTTTTTAGGAACGTCCTAGAGACTCAGGAGTTGGTTCATTGCACTCAGAAAAATCCTAGCTCCAAGCCCAACCCTAACCCTAGCTCCAACACTAACCCTAACTCCAACCCTAACCCTAACCCTTACCCTAGCTCCAACCCTAACCCTAACCCTAACCCATGCATTCCTATGGGAAAAAATCAAATTTTTTTAGGAACGTCCTAGAGACTCGGGAGTTGGTTCATTGCACTCAGAAAAATCCTAGCTCCAAGCCCAACCCTAACCCTAGCTCCAACACTAACCCTAACTCCAACCCTAACCCTAACCCTAACCCTAGCTCCAAGCCTAACCCTAACCCTAACCCATGCATTCCTATGGGAAAAAATCAAATTTTTTTAGGAACGTCCTAGAGACTCGGGAGTTGGTTCATTGCACTCAGAAAAATCCTAGCTCCAAGCCCAACCCTAACCCTAGCTCCAACACTAACCCTAACTCCAACCCTAACCCTAACCCCAACCCTAGCTCCAACCCTAACCCTAACCCTAACCCATGCATTCCTATGGGAAAAAATCAAATTTTTTTAGGAACGTCCTAGAGACTCAGGAGTTGGTTCATTGCACTCAGAAAAATCCTAGCTCCAAGCCCAACCCTAACCCTAGCTCCAACACTAACCCTAACTCCAACCCTAACCCTAACCCTGACCCTAGCTCCAACCCTAACCCTAACCCTAACCCATGCATTCCTATGGGAAAAAATCAAATTTTTTTAGGAACGTCCTAGAGACTCGGGAGTTGGTTCATTGCACTCAGAAAAATCCTAGCTCCAAGCCCAACCCGAACCCTAACCCTAGCTCCAACACTAACCCTAACTCCAACCCTAACCCTAACCCTAACCCTAGCTCCAACCCTAACCCTAACCCTATCCCTAACCCATGCATTCCTATGGGAAAAAATCAAATTTTTTTAGGAACGTCCTAGAGACTCGGGAGTTGGTTCATTGCACTCAGAAAAATCCTAGCTCCAAGCCCAACCCTAACCCTAGCTCCAACACTAACCCTAACTCCAACCCTAACCCTAACCCTAACCCTAGCTCCAAGCCTAACCCTAACCCTAACCCATGCATTCCTATGGGAAAAAATCAAATTTTTTTAGGAACGTCCTAGAGACTCAGGAGTTGGTTCATTGCACTCAGAAAAATCCTAGCTCCAAGCCCAACCCTAACCCTAGCTCCAACACTAACCCTAACTCCAACCCTAACCCTAACCCTTACCCTAGCTCCAACCCTAACCCTAACCCTAACCCATGCATTCCTATGGGAAAAAATCAAATTTTTTTAGGAACGTCCTAGAGACTCGGGAGTTGGTTCATTGCACTCAGAAAAATCCTAGCTCCAAGCCCAACCCTAACCCTAGCTCCAACACTAACCCTAACTCCAACCCTGACCCTAACCCTAACCCTAGCTCCAAGCCTAACCCTAACCCTAACCCATGCATTCCTATGGGAAAAAATCAAATTTTTTTAGGAACGTCCTAGAGACTCGGAAGTTGGTTCATTGCACTCAGAAAAATCCTAGCTCCAAGCCCAACCCTAACCCTAGCTCCAACACTAACCCTAACCCTAACCCTAACCCTAGCTCCAACCCTAACCCTAACCCTAACCCATGCATTCCTATGGGAAAAAATCAAATTTTTTTAGGAACGTCCTAGAGACTCGGGAGTTGGTTCATTGCACTCAGAAAAATCCTAGCTCCAAGCCCAACCCTAACCCTAGCTCCAACACTAACCCTAACTCCAACCCTAACCCTAACCCTAACCCTAGCTCCAACCCTAACCCTAACCCTAACCCATGCATTCCTATGGGAAAAAATCAAATTTTTTAGGAACGTCCTAGAGACTCGGGAGTTGGTTCATTGCACTCAGAAAAATCCTAGCTCCAAGCCCAACCCTAACCCTAGCACCAACACTAACCCTAACTCCAACCCTAACCCTAACCCTAACCCTAGCTCCAAGCCTAACCCTAACCCTAACCCATGCATTCCTATGGGAAAAAATCAAATTTTTTTAGGAACGTCCTAGAGACTCGGGAGTTGGTTCATTGCACTCAGAAAAATCCTAGCTCCAAGCCCAACCCTAACCCTAGCTCCAACACTAACCCTAACTCCAACCCTAACCCTAACCCTAACCCTAGCTCCAACCCTAACCCTAACCCTAACCCATGCATTCCTATGGGAAAAAATCAAATTTTTTTAGGAACGTCCTAGAGACTCGGGAGTTGGTTCATTGCACTCAGAAAAATCCTAGCTCCAAGCCCAACCCTAACCCTAGCTCCAACACTAACCCTAACTCCAACCCTAACCCTAACCCTAACCCTAGCTCCAACCCTAACCCTAACCCTATCCCTAACCCATGCATTCCTATGGGAAAAAATCAAATTTTTTTAGGAACGTCCTAGAGACTCGGGAGTTGGTTCATTGCACTCAGAAAAATCCTAGCTCCAAGCCCAACCCTAACCCTAGCTCCAACACTAACCCTAACTCCAACCCTAACCCTAACCCTAACCCTAGCTCCAAGCCTAACCCTAACCCTAACCCATGCATTCCTATGGGAAAAAATCAAATTTTTTTAGGAACGTCCTAGAGACTCAGGAGTTGGTTCATTGCACTCAGAAAAATCCTAGCTCCAAGCCCAACCCTAACCCTAGCTCCAACACTAACCCTAACTCCAACCCTAACCCTAACCCTTACCCTAGCTCCAACCCTAACCCTAACCCTAACCCATGCATTCCTATGGGAAAAAATCAAATTTTTTTAGGAACGTCCTAGAGACTCGGGAGTTGGTTCATTGCACTCAGAAAAATCCTAGCTCCAAGCCCAACCCTAACCCTAGCTCCAACACTAACCCTAACTCCAACCCTGACCCTAACCCTAACCCTAGCTCCAAGCCTAACCCTAACCCTAACCCATGCATTCCTATGGGAAAAAATCAAATTTTTTTAGGAACGTCCTAGAGACTCGGAAGTTGGTTCATTGCACTCAGAAAAATCCTAGCTCCAAGCCCAACCCTAACCCTAGCTCCAACACTAACCCTAACCCTAACCCTAACCCTAGCTCCAACCCTAACCCTAACCCTAACCCATGCATTCCTATGGGAAAAAATCAAATTTTTTTAGGAACGTCCTAGAGACTCGGGAGTTGGTTCATTGCACTCAGAAAAATCCTAGCTCCAAGCCCAACCCTAACCCTAGCTCCAACACTAACCCTAACTCCAACCCTAACCCTAACCCTAACCCTAGCTCCAACCCTAACCCTAACCCTAACCCATGCATTCCTATGGGAAAAAATCAAATTTTTTTAGGAACGTCCTAGAGACTCGGGAGTTGGTTCATTGCACTCAGAAAAATCCTAGCTCCAAGCCCAACCCTAACCCTAGCACCAACACTAACCCTAACTCCAACCCTAACCCTAACCCTAACCCTAGCTCCAAGCCTAACCCTAACCCTAACCCATGCATTCCTATGGGAAAAAATCAAATTTTTTTAGGAACGTCCTAGAGACTCGGGAGTTGGTTCATTGCACTCAGAAAAATCCTAGCTCCAAGCCCAACCCTAACCCTAGCTCCAACACTAACCCTAACTCCAACCCTAACCCTAACCCTAACCCTAGCTCCAACCCTAACCCTAACCCTAACCCATGCATTCCTATGGGAAAAAATCAAATTTTTTTAGGAACGTCCTAGAGACTCGGGAGTTGGTTCATTGCACTCAGAAAAATCCTAGCTCCAAGCCCAACCCTAACCCTAGCTCCAACACTAACCCTAACTCCAACCCTAACCCTAACCCTAACCCTAGCTCCAACCCTAACCCTAACCCTAACCCATGCATTCCTATGGGAAAAAATCAAATTTTTTTAGGAACGTCCTAGAGACTCGGGAGTTGGTTCATTGCACTCAGAAAAATCCTAGCTCCAAGCCCAACCCTAACCCTAGCTCCAACACAAACCCTAACTCCAACTCTAACCCTAACCCTAACCCTAGCTCCAACCCTAACCCTAACCCTAACCCATGCATTCCTATGGGAAAAAATCAAATTTTTTTAGGAACGTCCTAGAGACTCGGGAGTTGGTTCATTGCACTCAGAAAAATCCTGGCTCCAAGCCCAACCCTAACCCTAGCTCCAACACTAACCCTAACTCCAACCCTAACCCTAACCCTAACCCTAGCTCCAACCCTAACCCTAACCCTAACCCATGCATTCCTATGGGAAAAAATCAAATTTTTTTAGGAACGTCCTAGAGACTCGGGAGTTGGTTCATTGCACTCAGAAAAATCCTAGCTCCAAGCGCAACCCTAACCCTAGCTCCAACACTAACCCTAACTCCAACCCTAACCCTAACCCTTACCCTAGCTCCAACCCTAACCCTAACCCTAACCCATGCATTCCTATGGGGAAAAAATCAAATTTTTTTAGGAACGTCCTAGAGACTCGGGAGTTGGTTCATTGCACTCAGAAAAATCCTAGCTCCAAGCCCAACCCTAACCCTAGCTCCAACACTAACCCTAACTCCAACCCTAACCCTAACCCCAACCCTAGCTCCAACCCTAACCCTAACCCTAACCCATGCATTCCTATGGGAAAAAATCAATTTTTTTTAGGAACGTCCTAGAGACTCAGGAGTTGGTTCATTGCACTCAGAAAAATCCTAGCTCCAAGCCCAACCCTAACCCTAGCTCCAACACTAACCCTAACTCCAACCCTAACCCTAACCCTAACCCTAGCTCCAACCCTAACCCTAACCCTAACCCATGCATTCCTATGGGAAAAAATCAAATTTTTTTAGGAACGTCCTAGAGACTCGGGAGTTGGTTCATTGCACTCAGAAAAATCCTAGCTCCAAGCCCAACCCGAACCCTAACCCTAGCTCCAACACTAACCCTAACTCCAACCCTAACCCTAACCCTAACCCTAGCTCCAACCCTAACCCTAACCCTATCCCTAACCCATGCATTCCTATGGGAAAAAATCAAATTTTTTTAGGAACGTCCTAGAGACTCGGGAGTTGGTTCATTGCACTCAGAAAAATCCTAGCTCCAAGCCCAACCCTAACCCTAACCCTAACACTAACCCTAACTCCAACCCTAACCCTAACCCTAACCCTAGCTCCAACCCTAACCCTAACCCTAACCCATGCATTCCTATGGGAAAAAATCAAATTTTTTTAGGAACGTCCTAGAGACTCAGGAGTTGGTTCATTGCACTCAGAAAAATCCTAGCTCCAAGCCCAACCCTAACCCTAACCCTAACCCTAACCCTAACTCCAACCCTAACCCTAACCCTAACCCTAGCTCCAACCCTAACCCTAACCCTAACCCATGCATTCCTATGGGAAAAAATCAAATTTTTTTAGGAACGTCCTAGAGACTCGGGAGTTGGTTCATTGCACTCAGAAAAATCCTAGCTCCAAGCCCAACCCTAACCCTAGCTCCAACACTAACCCTAACTCCAACCCTAACCCTAACCCTAACCCTAGCTCCAACCCTAACCCTAACCCTAACCCATGCATTCCTATGGGAAAAAATCAAATTTTTTTAGGAACGTCCTAGAGACTCGGGAGTTGGTTCATTGCACTCAGAAAAATCCTAGCTCCAAGCCCAACCCTAACCCTAGCTCCAACACTAACCCTAACTCCAACCCTAACCCTAACCCTAACCCTAGCTCCAACCCTAACCCTAACCCATGCATTCCTATGGGAAAAAATCAAATTTTTTAGGAACGTCCTAGAGACTCAGGAGTTGGTTCATTGCACTCAGAAAAATCCTAGCTCCAAGCCCAACCCTAACCCTAGCTCCAACACTAACCCTAACTCCAACCCTAACCCTAACCCTAGCTCCAACCCTAACCCTAACCCTAACCCTAACCCATGCATTCCTATGGGAAAAAATCAAATTTTTTTAGGAAAGTCCTAGAGACTCAGGAGTTGGTTCATTGCACTCAGAAAAATCCTAGCTCCAAGCCCAACCCTAACCCTAGCTCCAACACTAACCCTAACTCCAACCCTAACCCTAACCCTAACCCTAGCTCCAACCCTAACCCCAACCCTAACCCATGCATTCCTATGGGAAAAAATCAAATTTTTTTAGGAACGTCCTAGAGACTCGGGAGTTGGTTCATTGCACTCAGAAAAATCCTAGCTCCAAGCCCAACCCTAACCCTAGCTCCAACACTAACCCTAACTCGAACCCTAACCCTAACCCTTACCCTAGCTCCAACCCTAACCCTAACCCTAACCCATGCATTCCTATGGGAAAAAATCAAATTTTTTTAGGAACGTCCTAGAGACTCGGGAGTTGGTTCATTGCACTCAGAAAAATCCTAGCTCCAAGCCCAACCCTAACCCTAGCTCCAACACTAACCCTAACTCCAACCCTAACCCTAACCCTAACCCTAGCTCCAAGCCTAACCCTAACCCATGCATTCCTATGGGAAAAAATCAAATTTTTTTAGGAACGTCCTAGAGACTCGGGAGTTGGTTCATTGCACTCAGAAAAATCCTAGCTCCAAGCCCAACCCTAACCCTAGCTCCAACACTAACCCTAACTCCAACCCTAACCCTAACCCTTACCCTAGCTCCAACCCTAACCCTAACCCTAACCCATGCATTCCTATGGGAAAAAATCAAATTTTTTTAGGAACGTCCTAGAGACTCGGGAGTTGGTTCATTGCACTCAGAAAAATCCTAGCTCCAAGCCCAACCCTAACCCTAGCTCCAACACTAACCCTAACTCCAACCCTAACCCTAACCCTTACCCTAGCTCCAACCCTAACCCTAACCCTAACCCATGCATTCCTATAGGAAAAAATCAAATTTTTTTTGGAACGTCCTAGAGACTCGGGAGTTGGTTCATTGCACTCAGAAAAATCCTAGCTCCAAGCCCAACCCGAACCCTAACCCTAGCTCCAACACTAACCCTAACTCCAACCCTAACCCTAACCCTAACCCTAGCTCCAACCCTAACCCTAACCCTATCCCTAACCCATGCATTCCTATGGGAAAAAATCAAATTTTTTTAGGAACGTCCTAGAGACTCGGGAGTTGGTTCATTGCACTCAGAAAAATCCTAGCTCCAAGCCCAACCCTAACCCTAGCTCCAACACTAACCCTAACTCCAACCCTAACCCTAACCCTAACCCTAGCTCCAACCCTAACCCTAACCCTAACCCATGCATTCCTATGGGAAAAAATCAAATTTTTTTAGGAACGTCCTAGAGACTCAGGAGTTGGTTCATTGCACTCAGAAAAATCCTAGCTCCAAGCCCAACCCTAACCCTAACCCTAACCCTAACCCTAACTCCAACCCTAACCCTAACCCTAACCCTAGCTCCAACCCTAACCCTAACCCTAACCCATGCATTCCTATGGGAAAAAATCAAATTTTTTTAGGAACGTCCTAGAGACTCGGGAGTTGGTTCATTGCACTCAGAAAAATCCTAGCTCCAAGCCCAACCCTAACCCTAGCTCCAACACTAACCCTAACTCCAACCCTAACCCTAACCCTAACCCTAGCTCCAACCCTAACCCTAACCCTAACCCATGCATTCCTATGGGAAAAAATCAAATTTTTTTAGGAACGTCCTAGAGACTCGGGAGTTGGTTCATTGCACTCAGAAAAATCCTAGCTCCAAGCCCAACCCTAACCCTAGCTCCAACACTAACCCTAACTCCAACCCTAACCCTAACCCTAACCCTAGCTCCAACCCTAACCCTAACCCTAACCCATGCATTCCTATGGGAAAAAAATCAAATTTTTTTAGGAACGTCCTAGAGACTCGGGAGTTGGTTCATTGCACTCAGAAAAATCCTAGCTCCAAGCCCAACCCTAACCCTAGCTCCAACACTAACCCTAACTCCAACCCTAACCCTAACCCTAACCCTAGCTCCAACCCTAACCCTAACCCATGCATTCCTATGGGAAAAAATCAAATTTTTTTAGGAACGTCCTAGAGACTCAGGAGTTGGTTCATTGCACTCAGAAAAATCCTAGCTCCAAGCCCAACCCTAACCCTAGCTCCAACACTAACCCTAACTCCAACCCTAACCCTAACCCTAGCTCCAACCCTAACCCTAACCCTAACCCTAACCCATGCATTCCTATGGGAAAAAATCAAATTTTTTTAGGAACGTCCTAGAGACTCAGGAGTTGGTTCATTGCACTCAGAAAAATCCTAGCTCCAAGCCCAACCCTAACCCTAGCTCCAACACTAACCCTAACTCCAACCCTAACCCTAACCCTAACCCTAGCTCCAACCCTAACCCTAACCCTAACCCATGCATTCCTATGGGAAAAAATCAAATTTTTTAGGAACGTCCTAGAGACTCGGGAGTTGGTTCATTGCACTCAGAAAAACCCTAGCTCTAAGCCCAACCCTAACCCTAGCTCCAACACTAACCCTAACTCCAACCCTAACCCTAACCCTAACCCTAACCCTAGCTCCAACCCTAACCCTAACCCTAACCCATGCATTCCTATGGGAAAAAATCAAATTTTTTTAGGAACGTCCTAGAGACTCGGGAGTTGGTTCATTGCACTCAGAAAAATCCTAGCTCCAAGCCCAACCCTAACCCTAGCTCCAACACTAACCCTAACTCCAACCCTAACCCTAGCTCCAACCCTAACCCTAACCCTAACCCATGCATTCCTATGGGAAAAAATCAAATTTTTTTAGGAACGTCCTAGAGACTCGGGAGTTGGTTCATTGCACTCAGAAAAATCCTAGCTCCAAGCCCAACCCTAACCCTAGCTCCAACACTAACCCTAACTCCAACCCTAACCCTAACCCTAGCTCCAACCCTAACCCCAACCCTAACCCATGCATTCCTATGGGAAAAAATCAAATTTTTTTAGGAACGTCCTAGAGACTCTGGAGTTGGTTCATTGCACTCAGAAAAATCCTAGCTCCAAGCCCAACCCTAACCCTAGCTCCAACACTAACCCTAACTCCAACCCTAACCCTAACCCTAGCTCCAACCCTAACCCCAACCCTAACCCATGCATTCCTATGGGAAAAAATCAAATTTTTTTAGGAACGTCCTAGAGACTCTGGAGTTGGTTCATTGCACTCAGAAAAATCCTAGCTCCAAGCCCAACCCTAACCCTAGCTCCAACACTAACCCTAACTCCAACCCTAACCCTAACCCTAGCTCCAACCCTAACCCCAACCCTAACCCATGCATTCCTATGGGAAAAAATCAAATTTTTTTAGGAACGTCCTAGAGACTCGGGAGTTGGTTCATTGCACTCAGAAAAATCCTAGCTCCAAGCCCAACCCTAACCCTAGCTCCAACACTAACCCTAACTCCAACCCTAACCCTAACCCTAACCCTAACCCTAGCTCCAACCCTAACCCTAACCCTAACCCATGCATTCCTATGGGAAAAAATCAAATTTTTTTAGGAACGTCCTAGAGACTCGGGAGTTGGTTCATTGCACTCAGAAAAATCCTAGCTCCAAGCCCAACCCTAACCCTAGCTCCAACACTAACCCTAACTCCAACCCTAACCCTAACCCTAGCTCCAACCCTAACCCTAACCCTAACCCATGCATTCCTATGGGAAAAAATCAAATTTTTTTAGGAACGTCCTAGAGACTCTGGAGTTGGTTCATTGCACTCAGAAAAATCCTAGCTCCAAGCCCAACCCTAACCCTAGCTCCAACACTAACCCTAACTCCAACCCTAACCCTAACCCTAGCTCCAACCCTAACCCCAACCCTAACCCATGCATTCCTATGGGAAAAAATCAAATTTTTTTAGGAACGTCCTAGAGACTCTGGAGTTGGTTCATTGCACTCAGAAAAATCCTAGCTCCAAGCCCAACCCTAACCCTAGCTCCAACACTAACCCTAACTCCAACCCTAACCCTAACCCTAGCTCCAACCCTAACCCCAACCCTAACCCATGCATTCCTATGGGAAAAAAATCAAATTTTTTTAGGAACGTCCTAGAGACTCTGGAGTTGGTTCATTGCACTCAGAAAAATCCTAGCTCCAAGCCCAACCCTAACCCTAGCTCCAACACTAACCCTAACTCCAACCCTAACCCTAACCCTAGCTCCAACCCTAACCCCAACCCTAACCCATGCATTCCTATGGGAAAAAATCAAATTTTTTTAGGAACGTCCTAGAGACTCGGGAGTTGGTTCATTGCACTCAGAAAAATCCTAGCTCCAAGCCCAACCCTAACCCTAGCTCCAACACTAACCCTAACTCCAACCCTAACCCTAACCCTTACCCTAGCTCCAACCCTAACCCTAACCCTAACCCATGCATTCCTATGGGAAAAAATCAAATTTTTTTAGGAACGTCCTAGAGACTCGGGAGTTGGTTCATTGCACTCAGAAAAATCCTAGCTCCAAGCCCAACCCTAACCCTAGCTCCAACACTAACCCTAACTCCAACCCTAACCCTAACCCTAACCCTAGCTCCAAGCCTAACCCTAACCCTAACCCATGCATTCCTATGGGAAAAAATCAAATTTTTTTAGGAACGTCCTAGAGACTCGGGAGTTGGTTCATTGCACTCAGAAAAATCCTAGCTCCAAGCCCAACCCTAACCCTAGCTCCAACACTAACCCTAACTCCAACCCTAACCCTAACCCTTACCCTAGCTCCAACCCTAACCCTAACCCTAACCCATGCATTCCTATGGGAAAAAATCAAATTTTTTTAGGAACGTCCTAGAGACTCGGGAGTTGGTTCATTGCACTCAGAAAAATCCTAGCTCCAAGCCCAACCCTAACCCTAGCTCCAACACTAACCCTAACTCCAACCCTAACCCTAACCCTTACCCTAGCTCCAACCCTAACCCTAACCCTAACCCATGCATTCCTATAGGAAAAAATCAAATTTTTTTTGGAACGTCCTAGAGACTCGGGAGTTGGTTCATTGCACTCAGAAAAATCCTAGCTCCAAGCCCAACCCGAACCCTAACCCTAGCTCCAACACTAACCCTAACTCCAACCCTAACCCTAACCCTAACCCTAGCTCCAACCCTAACCCTAACCCTAACCCTAACCCATGCATTCCTATGGGAAAAAATCAATTTTTTTTTAGGAACGTCCTAGAGACTCGGGAGTTGGTTCATTGCACTCAGAAAAATCCTAGCTCCAAGCCCAACCCTAACCCTAGCTCCAACACTAACCCTAACTCCAACCCTAACCCTAACCCTAACCCTAGCTCCAACCCTAACCCTAACCCTAACCCATGCATTCCTATGGGAAAAAATCAAATTTTTTTAGGAACGTCCTAGAGACTCAGGAGTTGGTTCATTGCACTCAGAAAAATCCTAGCTCCAAGCCCAACCCTAACCCTAACCCTAACCCTAACCCTAACTCCAACCCTAACCCTAACCCTAACCCTAGCTCCAACCCTAACCCTAACCCTAACCCATGCATTCCTATGGGAAAAAATCAAATTTTTTTAGGAACGTCCTAGAGACTCGGGAGTTGGTTCATTGCACTCAGAAAAATCCTAGCTCCAAGCCCAACCCTAACCCTAGCTCCAACACTAACCCTAACTCCAACCCTAACCCTAACCCTAACCCTAGCTCCAACCCTAACCCTAACCCTAACCCATGCATTCCTATGGGAAAAAAATCAAATTTTTTTAGGAACGTCCTAGAGACTCGGGAGTTGGTTCATTGCACTCAGAAAAATCCTAGCTCCAAGCCCAACCCTAACCCTAGCTCCAACACTAACCCTAACTCCAACCCTAACCCTAACCCTAACCCTAGCTCCAACCCTAACCCTAACCCATGCATTCCTATGGGAAAAAATCAAATTTTTTTAGGAACGTCCTAGAGACTCAGGAGTTGGTTCATTGCACTCAGAAAAATCCTAGCTCCAAGCCCAACCCTAACCCTAGCTCCAACACTAACCCTAACTCCAACCCTAACCCTAGCTCCAACCCTAACCCTAACCCTAACCCTAACCCATGCATTCCTATGGGAAAAAATCAAATTTTTTTAGGAACGTCCTAGAGACTCAGGAGTTGGTTCATTGCACTCAGAAAAATCCTAGCTCCAAGCCCAACCCTAACCCTAGCTCCAACACTAACCCTAACTCCAACCCTAACCCTAACCCTAACCCTAGCTCCAACCCTAACCCTAACCCTAACCCATGCATTCCTATGGGAAAAAATCAAATTTTTTTAGGAATGTCCTAGAGACTCGGGAGTTGGTTCATTGCACTCAGAAAAATCCTAGCTCCAAGCCCAACCCTAACCCTAGCTCCAACACTAACCCTAACTCCAACCCTAACCCTAACCCTAACCCTAACCCTAGCTCCAACCCTAACCCTAACCCTAACCCATGCATTCCTATGGGAAAAAATCAAATTTTTTTAGGAACGTCCTAGAGACTCGGGAGTTGGTTCATTGCACTCAGAAAAATCCTAGCTCCAAGCCCAACCCTAACCCTAGCTCCAACACTAACCCTAACTCCAACCCTAACCCTAACCCTAACCCTAGCTCCAACCCTAACCCTAACCCTAACCCATGCATTCCTATGGGAAAAAATCAAATTTTTTTAGGAACGTCCTAGAGACTCAGGAGTTGGTTCATTGCACTCAGAAAAATCCTAGCTCCAAGCCCAACCCTAACCCTAGCTCCAACACTAACCCTAACTCCAACCCTAACCCTAACCCTAACCCTAGCTCCAACCCTAACCCTAACCCTAACCCATGCATTCCTATGGGAAAAAATCAAATTTTTTTAGGAACGTCCTAGAGACTCGGGAGTTGGTTCATTGCACTCAGAAAATACTAGCTCCAAGCCCAACCCAAACCCTAGCTCCAACACTAACCCTAACTCCAACCCTAACCCTAACCCTAACCCTAACCCTAGCTCCAACCCTAACCCTAACCCTAACCCATGCATTCCTATGGGAAAAAAATCAAATTTTTTTAGGAACGTCCTAGAGACTCGGGAGTTGGTTCATTGCACTCAGAAAAATCCTAGCTCCAAGCCCAACCCTAACCCTAGCTCCAACACTAACCCTAACTCCAACCCTAACCCTAACCCTAACCCTAGCTCCAACCCTAACCCTAACCCTAACCCATGCATTCCTATGGGAAAAAATCAAATTTTTTTAGGAACGTCCTAGAGACTCGGGAGTTGGTTCATTGCACTCAGAAAAATCCTAGCTCCAAGCCCAACCCTAACCCTAGCTCCAACACTAACCCTAACTCCAACCCTAACCCTAACCCTAACCCTAGCTCCAACCCTAACCCTAACCCTAACCCATGCATTCCTATGGGAAAAAATCAAATTTTTTTAGGAACGTCCTAGAGACTCGGGAGTTGGTTCATTGCACTCAGAAAAATCCTGGCTCCAAGCCCAACCCTAACCCTAGCTCCAACACTAACCCTAACTCCAACCCTAACCCTAACCCTAACCCTAGCTCCAACCCTAACCCTAACCCTAACCCATGCATTCCTATGGGAAAAAATCAAATTTTTTTAGGAACGTCCTAGAGACTCGGGAGTTGGTTCATTGCACTCAGAAAAATCCTAGCTCCAAGCCCAACCCTAACCCTAGCTCCAACACTAACCCTAACTCCAACCCTAACCCTAACCCTAACCCTAGCTCTAACCCTAACCCTAACCCATGCATTCCTATGGGAAAAAATCAAATTTTTTTAGGAACGTCCTAGAGACTCAGGAGTTGGTTCATTGCACTCAGAAAAATCCTAGCTCCAAGCCCAACCCTAACCCTAGCTCCAACACTAACCCTAACTCCAACCCTAACCCTAACCCTAGCTCCAACCCTAACCCTAACCCTAACCCTAACCCATGCATTCCTATGGGAAAAAATCAAATTTTTTTAGGAACGTCCTAGAGACTCAGGAGTTGGTTCATTGCACTCAGAAAAATCCTAGCTCCAAGCCCAACCCTAACCCTAGCTCCAACACTAACCCTAACTCCAACCCTAACCCTAACCCTAACCCTAGCTCCAACCCTAACCCTAACCCTAACCCATGCATTCCTATGGGAAAAAATCAAATTTTTTTAGGAACGTCCTAGAGACTCGGGAGTTGGTTCATTGCACTCAGAAAAATCCTAGCTCCAAGCCCAACCCTAACCCTAGCTCCAACACTAACCCTAACTCCAACCCTAACCCTAACCCTAACCCTAACCCTAGCTCCAACCCTAACCCTAACCCTAACCCATGCATTCCTATGGGAAAAAATCAAATTTTTTTAGGAACGTCCTAGAGACTCGGGAGTTGGTTCATTGCACTCAGAAAAATCCTAGCTCCAAGCCCAACCCTAACCCTAGCTCCAACACTAACCCTAACTCCAACCCTAACCCTAACCCTAACCCTAGCTCCAACCCTAACCCTAACCCTAACCCATGCATTCCTATGGGAAAAAATCAAATTTTTTAGGAACGTCCTAGAGACTCGGGAGTTGGTTCATTGCACTCAGAAAAACCCTAGCTCTAAGCCCAACCCTAACCCTAGCTCCAACACTAACCCTAACTCCAACCCTAACCCTAACCCTAACCCTAACCCTAGCTCCAACCCTAACCCTAACCCTAACCCATGCATTCCTATGGGAAAAAAAACAAATTTTTTTAGGAACGTCCTAGAGACTCGGGAGTTGGTTCATTGCACTCAGAAAAATCCTAGCTCCAAGCCCAACCCTAACCCTAGCTCCAACACTAACCCTAACTCCAACCCTAACCCTAGCTCCAACCCTAACCCTAACCCTAACCCATGCATTCCTATGGGAAAAAATCAAATTTTTTTAGGAACGTCCTAGAGACTCTGGAGTTGGTTCATTGCACTCAGAAAAATCCTAGCTCCAAGCCCAACCCTAACCCTAGCTCCAACACTAACCCTAACTCCAACCCTAACCCTAACCCTAGCTCCAACCCTAACCCTAACCCTAACCCTAGCTCCAACCCCAACCCTAACCCTAACCCATGCATTCTTATGGGAAAAAATCAAATTTTTTTAGGAACGTCCTAGAGACTCGGGAGTTGGTTCATTGCACTCAGAAAAATCCTAGCTCCAAGCCCAACCCTAACCCTAGCTCCAACACTAACCCTAACTCCAACCCTAACCCTAACCCTAACCCTAGCTCCAACCCTAACCCTAACCCTAACCCATGCATTCCTATGGGAAAAAATCAAATTTTTTAGGAACGTCCTAGAGACTCGGGAGTTGGTTCATTGCACTCAGAAAAATCCTAGCTCCAAGCCCAACCCTAACCCTAGCTCCAACACTAACCCTAACTCCAACCCTAACCCTAACCCTAACCCTAGCTCCAACCCTAACCCTAACCCTAACCCATGCATTCCTATGGGAAAAAATCAAATTTTTTTAGGAACGTCCTAGAGACTCGGGAGTTGGTTCATTGCACTCAGAAAAATCCTAGCTCCAAGCCCAACCCTAACCCTAGCTCCAACACTAACCCTAACTCCAACCCTAACCCTAACCCTAACCCTAACCCTAGCTCCAACCCTAACCCTAACCCTAACCCATGCATTCCTATGGGAAAAAATCAAATTTTTTTAGGAACGTCCTAGAGACTCGGGAGTTGGTTCATTGCACTCAGAAAAATCCTAGCTCCAAGCCCAACCCTAACCCTAGCTCCAACACTAACCCTAACTCCAACCCTAACCCTAACCCTAACCCTAGCTCCAACCCTAACCCTAACCCTAACCCATGCATTCCTATGGGAAAAAATCAAATTTTTTAGGAACGTCCTAGAGACTCGGGAGTTGGTTCATTGCACTCAGAAAAACCCTAGCTCTAAGCCCAACCCTAACCCTAGCTCCAACACTAACCCTAACTCCAACCCTAACCCTAACCCTAACCCTAACCCTAGCTCCAACCCTAACCCTAACCCTAACCCATGCATTCCTATGGGAAAAAAAACAAATTTTTTTAGGAACGTCCTAGAGACTCGGGAGTTGGTTCATTGCACTCAGAAAAATCCTAGCTCCAAGCCCAACCCTAACCCTAGCTCCAACACTAACCCTAACTCCAACCCTAACCCTAACCCTAGCTCCAACCCTAACCCTAACCCTAACCCATGCATTCCTATGGGAAAAAATCAAATTTTTTTAGGAACGTCCTAGAGACTCGGGAGTTGGTTCATTGCACTCAGAAAAATCCTAGCTCCAAGCCCAACCCTAACCCTAGCTCCAACACTAACCCTAACTCCAACCCTAACCCTAACCCTAGCTCCAACCCTAACCCTAACCCTAACCCTAGCTCCAACCCTAACCCTAACCCTAACCCATGCATTCTTATGGGAAAAAATCAAATTTTTTTAGGAACGTCCTAGAGACTCGGGAGTTGGTTCATTGCACTCAGAAAAATCCTAGCTCCAAGCCCAACCCTAACCCTAGCTCCAACACTAACCCTAACTCCAACCCTAACCCTAACCCTAACCCTAGCTCCAACCCTAACCCTAACCCTAACCCATGCATTCCTATGGGAAAAAATCAAATTTTTTTAGGAACGTCCTAGAGACTCGGGAGTTGGTTCATTGCACTCAGAAAAATCCTAGCTCCAAGCCCAACCCTAACCCTAGCTCCAACACTAACCCTAACTCCAACCCTAACCCTAACCCTAACCCTAGCTCCAACCCTAACCCTAACCCTAACCCATGCATTCCTATGGGAAAAAATCAAATTTTTTTTGGAACGTCCTAGAGACTCGGGAGTTGGTTCATTGCACTCAGAAAAATCCTAGCTCCAAGCCCAACCCTAACCCTAGCTCCAACACAAACCCTAACTCCAACTCTAACCCTAACCCTAACCCTAGCTCCAACCCTAACCCTAACCCTAACCCATGCATTCCTATGGGAAAAAATCAAATTTTTTTAGGAACGTCCTAGAGACTCGGGAGTTGGTTCATTGCACTCAGAAAAATCCTGGCTCCAAGCCCAACCCTAACCCTAGCTCCAACACTAACCCTAACTCCAACCCTAACCCTAACCCTAACCCTAGCTCCAACCCTAACCCTAACCCTAACCCATGCATTCCTATGGGAAAAAATCAAATTTTTTTAGGAACGTCCTAGAGACTCGGGAGTTGGTTCATTGCACTCAGAAAAGTCCTAGCTCCAAGCGCAACCCTAACCCTAGCTCCAACACTAACCCTAACTCCAACCCTAACCCTAACCCTTACCCTAGCTCCAACCCTAACCCTAACCCTAACCCATGCATTCCTATGTGAAAAAATCAAATTTTTTTAGGAACGTCCTAGAGACTCGGGAGTTGGTTCATTGCACTCAGAAAAATCCTAGCTCCAAGCCCAACCCTAACCCTAGCTCCAACACTAACCCTAACTCCAACCCTAACCCTAACCCCAACCCTAGCTCCAACCCTAACCCTAATCCTAACCCATGCATTCCTATGGGAAAAAATCAAATTTTTTTAGGAACGTCCTAGAGACTCAGGAGTTGGTTCATTGCACTCAGAAAAATCCTAGCTCCAAGCCCAACCCTAACCCTAGCTCCAACACTAACCCTAACTCCAACCCTAACCCTAACCCTGACCCTAGCTCCAACCCTAACCCTAACCCTAACCCATGCATTCCTATGGGAAAAAATCAAATTTTTTTAGGAACGTCCTAGAGACTCGGGAGTTGGTTCATTGCACTCAGAAAAATCCTAGCTCCAAGCCCAACCCGAACCCTAACCCTAGCTCCAACACTAACCCTAACTCCAACCCTAACCCTAACCCTAACCCTAGCTCCAACCCTAACCCTAACCCTATCCCTAACCTATGCATTCCTATGGGAAAAAATCAAATTTTTTTAGGAACGTCCTAGAGACTCGGGAGTTGGTTCATTGCACTCAGAAAAATCCTAGCTCCAAGCCCAACCCTAACCCTAGCTCCAACACTAACCCTAACTCCAACCCTAACCCTAACCCTAACCCTAGCTCCAACCCTAACCCTAACCCTAACCCATGCATTCCTATGGGAAAAAATCAAATTTTTTTAGGAACGTCCTAGAGACTCAGGAGTTGGTTCATTGCACTCAGAAAAATCCTAGCTCCAAGCCCAACCCTAAACCTAACCCTAACCCTAACCCTAACTCCAACCCTAACCCTAACCCTAACCCTAGCTCCAACCCTAACCCTAACCCTAACCCATGCATTCCTATGGGAAAAAATCAAATTTTTTTAGGAACGTCCTAGAGACTCGGGAGTTGGTTCATTGCACTCAGAAAAATCCTAGCTCCAAGCCCAACCCTAACCCTAGCTCCAACACTAACCCTAACTCCAACCCTAACCCTAACCCTAACCCTAGCTCCAACCCTAACCCTAACCCTAACCCATGCATTCCTATGGGAAAAAAATCAAATTTTTTTAGGAACGTCCTAGAGACTCGGGAGTTGGTTCATTGCACTCAGAAAAATCCTAGCTCCAAGCCCAACCCTAACCCTAGCTCCAACACTAACCCTAACTCCAACCCTAACCCTAACCCTAACCCTAGCTCCAACCCTAACCCTAACCCAAACCCATGCATTCCTATGGGAAAAAATCAAATTTTTTTAGGAACGTCCTAGAGACTCGGGAGTTGGTTCATTGCACTCAGAAAAATCCTAGCTCCAAGCCCAACCCTAACCCTAGCTCCAACACTAACCCTAACTCCAACCCTAACCCTAACCCTAGCTCCAACCCTAACCCTAACCCTAACCCATGCATTCCTATGGGAAAAAATCAAATTTTTTTAGGAACGTCCTAGAGACTCGGGAGTTGGTTCATTGCACTCAGAAAAATCCTAGCTCCAAGCCCAACCCTAACCCTAGCTCCAACACTAACCCTAACTCCAACCCTAACCCTAACCCTAACCCTAGCTCCAACCCTAACCCTAACCCTAACCCATGCATTCCTATGGGAAAAAATCAAATTTTTTTAGGAACGTCCTAGAGACTCGGGAGTTGGTTCATTGCACTCAGAAAAATCCTAGCTCCAAGCCCAACCCGAACCCTAACCCTAGCTCCAACACTAACCCTAACTCCAACTCCAACCCTAACCCTAACCCTAACCCTAGCTCCAACCCTAACCCTAACCCTAACCCATGCATTCCTATGGGAAAAAATCAAATTTTTTTAGGAACGTCCTAGAGACTCGGGAGTTGGTTCATTGCACTCAGAAAAATCCTAGCTCCAAGCCCAACCCTAACCCTAGCTCCAACACTAACCCTAACTCCAACCCTAACCCTAACCCTTACCCTAGCTCCAACCCTAACCCTAACCCTAACCCATGCATTCCTATGGGAAAAAATCAAATTTTTTTTGGAACGTCCTAGAGACTCGGGAGTTGGTTCATTGCACTCAGAAAAATCCTAGCTCCAAGCCCAACCCTAACCCTAGCTCCAACACAAACCCTAACTCCAACTCTAACCCTAACCCTAACCCTAGCTCCAACCCTAACCCTAACCCTAACCCATGCATTCCTATGGGAAAAAATCAAATTTTTTTAGGAACGTCCTAGAGACTCGGGAGTTGGTTCATTGCACTCAGAAAAATCCTAGCTCCAAGCCCAACCCTAACCCTAGCTCCAACACTAACCCTAACTCCAACCCTAACCCTAACCCTAGCTCCAACCCTAACCCTAACCCTAACCCATGCATTCCTATGGGAAAAAATCAAATTTTTTTAGGAACGTCCTAGAGACTCGGGAGTTGGTTCATTGCACTCAGAAAAATCCTAGCTCCAAGCCCAACCCTAACCCTAGCTCCAACACTAACCCTAACTCCAACCCTAACCCTAACCCTAACCCTAGCTCCAACCCTAACCCTAACCCTAACCCATGCATTCCTATGGGAAAAAATCAAATTTTTTTAGGAACGTCCTAGAGACTCGGGAGTTGGTTCATTGCACTCAGAAAAATCCTAGCTCCAAGCCCAACCCTAACCCTAGCTCCAACACAAACCCTAACTCCAACTCTAACCCTAACCCATGCATTCCTAATGGAAAAAATCAATTTTTTTTAGGAACGTCCTAGAGACTCAGGAGTTGGTTCATTGCACTCAGAAAAATCCTAGCTCCAAGCCCAACCCTAACCCTAGCTCCAACACTAACCCTAACTCCAACCCTAACCCTAACCCTAACCCTAGCTCCAACCCTAACCCTAACCCATGCATTCCTATGGGAAAAAATCAATTTTTTTAGGAACGTCCTAGAGACTCAGGAGTTGGTTCATTGCACTCAGAAAAATCCTAGCTCCAAGCACAACCCTAACCCTAGCTCCAACACTAACCCTAACTCCAACCCTAACCCTAACCCTGACCCTAGCTCCAACCCTAACCCTAACCCTAACCCATGCATTCCTATGGGAAAAAATCAAATTTTTTTAGGAACGTCCTAGAGACTCGGGAGTTGGTTCATTGCACTCAGAAAAATCCTAGCTCCAAGCCCAACCCGAACCCTAACCCTAGCTCCAACACTAACCCTAACTCCAACCCTAACCCTAACCCTAACCCTAGCTCCAACCCTAACCCTAACCCTATCCCTAACCTATGCATTCCTATGGGAAAAAATCAAATTTTTTTAGGAACGTCCTAGAGACTCGGGAGTTGGTTCATTGCACTCAGAAAAATCCTAGCTCCAAGCCCAACCCTAACCCTAGCTCCAACACTAACCCTAACTCCAACCCTAACCCTAACCCTAACCCTAGCTCCAACCCTAACCCTAACCCTAACCCATGCATTCCTATGGGAAAAAATCAAATTTTTTTAGGAACGTCCTAGAGACTCAGGAGTTGGTTCATTGCACTCAGAAAAATCCTAGCTCCAAGCCCAAACCTAACCCTAACCCTAACCCTAACCCTAACTCCAACCCTAACCCTAACCCTAACCCTAGCTCCAACCCTAACCCTAACCCTAACCCATGCATTCCTATGGGAAAAAATCAAATTTTTTTAGGAACGTCCTAGAGACTCAGGAGTTGGTTCATTGCACTCAAAAAAAATCCTAGCTCCAAGCCCAACCCTAACCCTAGCTCCAACACTAACCCTAACTCCAACCCTAACCCTAACCCTAGCTCCAACCCTAACCCTAACCCTAACCCTAACCCATGCATTCCTATGGGAAAAAATCAAATTTTTTTAGGAACGTCCTAGAGACTCGGGAGTTGGTTCATTGCACTCAGAAAAATCCTAGCTCCAAGCCCAACCCTAACCCTAGCTCCAACACTAACCCTAACTCCAACCCTAACCCTAACCCTAACCCTAGCTCCAACCCTAACCCTAACCCTAACCCATGCATTCCTATGGGAAAAAAATCAAATTTTTTTAGGAACGTCCTAGAGACTCGGGAGTTGGTTCATTGCACTCAGAAAAACCCTAGCTCTAAGCCCAACCCTAACCCTAGCTCCAACACTAACCCTAACTCCAACCCTAACCCTAACCCTAACCCTAGCTCCAACCCTAACCCTAACCCAACCCATGCATTCCTATGGGAAAAAATCAAATTTTTTTAGGAACGTCCTAGAGACTCGGGAGTTGGTTCATTGCACTCAGAAAAATCCTAGCTCCAAGCCCAACCCTAACCCTAGCTCCAACACTAACCCTAACTCCAACCCTAACCCTAACCCTAACCCTAGCTCCAACCCTAACCCTAACCCTAACCCATGCATTCCTATGGGAAAAAATCAAATTTTTTTAGGAACGTCCTAGAGACTCGGGAGTTGGTTCATTGCACTCAGAAAAATCCTAGCTCCAAGCCCAACCCTAACCCTAGCTCCAACACTAACCCTAACTCCAACCCTAACCCTAACCCTAACCCTAGCTCCAACCCTAACCCTAACCCTAACCCATGCATTCCTATGGGAAAAAAATCAAATTTTTTTAGGAACGTCCTAGAGACTCGGGAGTTGGTTCATTGCACTCAGAAAAATCCTAGCTCCAAGCCCAACCCTAACCCTAGCTCCAACACTAACCCTAACTCCAACCCTAACCCTAACCCTAACCCTAGCTCTAACCCTAACCCTAACCCATGCATTCCTATGGGAAAAAATCAAATTTTTTTAGGAACGTCCTAGAGACTCAGGAGTTGGTTCATTGCACTCAGAAAAATCCTAGCTCCAAGCCCAACCCTAACCCTAGCTCCAACACTAACCCTTACTCCAACCCTAACCCTAACCCTAGCTCCAACCCTAACCCTAACCCTAACCCTAACCCATGCATTCCTATGGGAAAAAATCAAATTTTTTTAGGAACGTCCCAGAGACTCAGGAGTTCGTTCATTGCACTCAGAAAAATCCTAGCTCCAAGCCCAACCCTAACCCTAGCTCCAACACTAACCCTAACTCCAACCCTAACCCTAACCCTAACCCTAGCTCCAACCCTAACCCTAACCCTAACCCATGCATTCCTATGGGAAAAAATCAAATTTTTTTAGGAACGTCCTAGAGACTCGGGAGTTGGTTCTTTGCACTCAGAAAAATCCTAGCTCCAAGCCCAACCCTAACCCTAGCTCCAACACTAACCCTAACTCCAACCCTAACCCTAACCCTAACCCTAGCTCCAACCCTAACCCTAACCCTAACCCATGCATTCCTATGGGAAAAAATCAAATTTTTTAGGAACGTCCTAGAGACTCGGGAGTTGGTTCATTGCACTCAGAAAAATCCTAGCTCCAAGCCCAACCCTAACCCTAGCTCCAACACTAACCCTAACTCCAACCCTAACCCTAGCTCCAACCCTAACCCTAACCCTAACCCATGCATTCCTATGGGAAAAAATCAAATTTTTTTAGGAACGTCCTAGAGACTCTGGAGTTGGTTCATTGCACTCAGAAAAATCCTAGCTCCAAGCCCAACCCTAACCCTAGCTCCAACACTAACCCTAACTCCAACCCTAACCCTAACCCTAGCTCCAACCCTAACCCTAACCTTAACCCATGCATTCCTATGGGAAAAAATCAAATTTTTTTAGGAATGTCCTAGAGACTCGGGAGTTGGTTCATTGCACTCAGAAAAATCCTAGCTCCAAGCCCAACCCTAACCCTAGCTCCAACACTAACCCTAACTCCAACCCTAACCCTAACCCTAACCCTAACCCTAGCTCCAACCCTAACCCTAACCCTAACCCTAACCCATGCATTCCTATGGGAAAAAATCAAATTTTTTTAGGAACGTCCTAGAGACTCGGGAGTTGGTTCATTGCACTCAGAAAAATCCTAGCTCCAAGCCCAACCCTAACCCTAGCTCCAACACTAACCCTAACTCCAACCCTAACCCTAACCCTAACCCTAGCTCCTACCCTAACCCTAACCCTAACCCATGCATTCCTATGGGAAAAAATCAAATTTTTTTAGGAACGTCCTAGAGACTCGGGAGTTGGTTCATTGCACTCAGAAAAATCCTAGCTCCAAGCCCAACCCTAACCCTAGCTCCAACACTAACCCTAACTCCAACCCTAACCCTAACCCTAACCCTAGCTCCAACCCTAACCCTAACCCTAACCCATGCATTCCTATGGGAAAAAATCAAATTTTTTTAGGAACGTCCTAGAGACTCGGGAGTTGGTTCATTGCACTCAGAAAAATCCTAGCTCCAAGCCCAACCCTAACCCTAGCTCCAACACTAACCCTAACTCCAACCCTAACCCTAACCCTAACCCTAGCTCTAACCCTAACCCTAACCCATGCATTCCTATGGGAAAAAATCAAATTTTTTTAGGAACGTCCTAGAGACTCAGGAGTTGGTTCATTGCACTCAGAAAAATCCTAGCTCCAAGCCCAACCCTAACCCTAGCTCCAACACTAACCCTAACTCCAACCCTAACCCTAACCCTAGCTCCAACCCTAACCCTAACCCTAACCCTAACCCATGCATTCCTATGGGAAAAAATCAAATTTTTTTAGGAACGTCCTAGAGACTCAGGAGTTGGTTCATTGCACTCAGAAAAATCCTAGCTCCAAGCCCAACCCTAACCCTAGCTCCAACACTAACCCTAACTCCAACCCTAACCCTAACCCTAACCCTAGCTCCAACCCTAACCCTAACCCTAACCCATGCATTCCTATGGGAAAAAAATCAAATTTTTTTAGGAACGTCCTAGAGACTCGGGAGTTGGTTCATTGCACTCAGAAAAACCCTAGCTCTAAGCCCAACCCTAACCCTAGATCCAACACTAACCCTAACTCCAACCCTAACCCTAACCCTAACCCTAACCCTAGCTCCAACCCTAACCCTAACCCTAACCCATGCATTCCTATGGGAAAAAATCAAAATTTTTTAGGAACGTCCTAGAGACTCGGGAGTTGGTTCATTGCACTCAGAAAAATCCTAGCTCCAAGCCCAACCCTAACCCTAGCTCCAACACTAACCCTAACTCCAACCCTAACCCTAGCTCCAACCCTAACCCTAACCCTAACCCATGCATTCCTATGGGAAAAAAATCAAATTTTTTTAGGAACGTCCTAGAGACTCTGGAGTTGGTTCATTGCACTCAGAAAAATCCTAGCTCCAAGCCCAACCCTAACCCTAGCTCCAACACTAACCCTAACTCCAACCCTAACCCTAACCCTAGCTCCAACCCTAAACCTAACATTAACCCATGCATTCCTATGGGGAAAAATCAAATTTTTTTAGGAATGTCCTAGAGACTCGGGAGTTGGTTCATTGCACTCAGAAAAATCCTAGCTCCAAGCCCAACCCTAACCCTAGCTCCAACACTAACCCTAACTCCAACCCTAACCCTAACCCTAACCCTAGCTCCAACCCTAACCCTAACCCTAACCCATGCATTCCTATGGGAAAAAATCAAATTTTTTTAGGAACGTCCTAGAGACTCGGGAGTTGGTTCATTGCACTCAGAAAAATCCTAGCTCCAAGCCCAACCCTAACCCTAGCTCCAACACTAACCCTAACTCCAACCCTAACCCTAACCCTAACCCTAACCCTAGCTCTAACCCTAACCCTAACCCATGCATTCCTATGGGAAAAAATCAAATTTTTTTAGGAACGTCCTAGAGACTCAGGAGTTGGTTCATTGCACTCAGAAAAATCCTAGCTCCAAGCCCAAGCCTAACCCTAGCTCCAACACTAACCCTAACTCCAACCCTAACCCTAACCCTGACCCTAGCTCCAACCCTAACCCTAACCCTAACCCTAACCCATGCATTCCTATGGGAAAAAATCAAATTTTTTTAGGAACGTCCTAGAGACTCAGGAGTTGGTTCATTGCACTCAGAAAAATCCTAGCTCCAAGCCCAACCCTAACCCTAGCTCCAACACTAACCCTAACTCCAACCCTAACCCTAACCCTAACCCTAGCTCCAACCCTAACCCTAACCCTAACCCATGCATTCCTATGGGAAAAAAAACAATTTTTTTTAGGAACGTCCTAGAGACTCGGGAGTTGGTTCATTGCACTCAGAAAAACCCTAGCTCTAAGCCCAACCCTAACCCTAGCTCCAACACTAACCCTAACTCCAACCCTAACCCTAACCCTAACCCTAACCCTAGCTCCAACCCTAACCCTAACCCTAACCCATGCATTCCTATGGGAAAAAATCAAAATTTTTTAGGAACGTCCTAGAGACTCGGGAGTTGGTTCATTGCACTCAGAAAAATCCTAGCTCCAAGCCCAACCCTAACCCTAGCTCCAACACTAACCCTAACTCCAACCCTTACCCTAGCTCCAACCCTAACCCTAACCCGAACCCATGCATTCCTATGGGAAAAAATCAATTTTTTTTAGGAACGTCCTAGAGACTCTGGAGTTGGTTCATTGCACTCAGAAAAATCCTAGCTCCAAGCCCAACCCTAACCCTAGCTCCAACACTAACCCTAACTCCAACCCTAACCCTAACCCTAGCTCCAACCCTAACCCTAACCCTAACCCATGCATTCCTATGGGAAAAAATCAAATTTTTTTAGGAATGTCCTAGAGACTCGGGAGTTGGTTCATTGCACTCAGAAAAATCCTAGCTCCAAGCCCAACCCTAACCCTAGCTCCAACACTAACCCTAACTCCAACCCTAACCCTAACCCTAACCCTAGCTCCAACCCTAACCCTAACCCTAACCCATGCATTCCTATGGGAAAAAATCAAATTTTTTTAGGAACGTCCTAGAGACTCGGGAGTTGGTTCATTGCACTCAGAAAAATCCTAGCTCCAAGCCCAACCCTAACCCTAGCTCCAACACTAACCCTAACTCCAACCCTAACCCTAACCCTAACCCTAGCTCCAACCCTAACCCTAACCCTAACCCATGCATTCCTATGGGAAAAAATCAAATTTTTTTAGGAACGTCCTAGAGACTCGGGAGTTGGTTCATTGCACTCAGAAAAATCCTAGCTCCAAGCCCAACCCTAACCCTAGCTCCAACACTAACCCTAACTCCAACCCTAACCCTAACCCTAACCCTAGCTCCAACCCTAACCCTAACCCTAACCCATGCATTCCTATGGGAAAAAATCAAATTTTTTTAGGAACGTCCTAGAGACTCGGGAGTTGGTTCATTGCACTCAGAAAAATCCTAGCTCCAAGCCCAACCCTAACCCTAGCTCCAACACTAACCCTAACTCCAACCCTAACCCTAACCCTAGCTCTAACCCTAACCCTAACCCATGCATTCCTATGGGAAAAAATCAAATTTTTTTAGGAACGTCCTAGAGACTCAGGAGTTGGTTCATTGCACTCCGAAAAATCCTAGCTCCAAGCCCAACCCTAACCCTAGCTCCAACACTAACCCTAACTCCAACCCTAACCCTAACCCTAGCTCCAACCCTAACCCTAACCCTAACCCTAACCCATGCATTCCTATGGGAAAAAAATCAAATTTTTTTAGGAACGTCCTAGAGACTCGGGAGTTGGTTCATTGCACTCAGAAAAATCCTAGCTCCAAGCCCAACCCTAACCCTAGCTCCAACACTAACCCTAACTCCAACCCTAACCCTAACCCTAACCCTAGCTCCAACCCTAACCCTAACCCTAACCCATGCATTCCTATGGGAAAAAAATCAAATTTTTTTAGGAACGTCCTAGAGACTCGGGAGTTGGTTCATTGCACTCAGAAAAATCCTAGCTCCAAGCCCAACCCTAACCCTAGCTCCAACACTAACCCTAACTCCAACCCTAACCCTAACCCTAACCCTAACCCTAGCTCCAACCCTAACCCTAACCCTAACCCATGCATTCCTATGGGAAAAAAATCAAAATTTTCTTAGGAACGTCCTAGAGACTCGGGAGTTGGTTCATTGCACTCAGAAAAATCCTAGCTCCAAGCCCAACCCTAACCCTAGCTCCAACACTAACCCTAACTCCAACCCTAACCCTAGCTCCAACCCTAACCCTAACCCTAACCCATGCATTCCTATGGGAAAAAATCAAATTTTTTTAGGAACGTCCTAGAGACTCTGGAGTTGGTTCATTGCACTCAGAAAAATCCTAGCTCCAAGCCCAACCCTAACCCTAGCTCCAACACTAACCCTAACTCCAACCCTAACCCTAACCCTAGCTCCAACCCTAACCCTAACCTTAACCCATGCATTCCTATGGGAAAAAATCAAATTTTTTTAGGAATGTCCTAGAGACTCGGGAGTTGGTTCATTGCACTCAGAAAAATCCTAGCTCCAAGCCCAACCCTAACCCTAGCTCCAACACTAACCCTAACTCCAACCCTAACCCTAACCCTAACCCTAGCTCCAACCCTAACCCTAACCCTAACCCATGCATTCCTATGGGAAAAAATCAAATTTTTTTAGGAACGTCCTAGAGACTCGGGAGTTGGTTCATTGCACTCAGAAAAATCCTAGCTCCAAGCCCAACCCTAACCCTAGCTCCAACACTAACCCTAACTCCAACCCTAACCCTAACCCTAACCCTAGCTCCAACCCTAACCCTAACCCTAACCCATGCATTCCTATGGGAAAAAATCAAATTTTTTTAGGAACGTCCTAGAGACTCGGGAGTTGGTTCATTGCACTCAGAAAAATCCTAGCTCCAAGCCCAACCCTAACCCTAGCTCCAACACTAACCCTAACTCCAACCCTAACCCTAACCCTAACCCTAGCTCAAACCCTAACCCTAACCCTAACCCATGCATTCCTATGGGAAAAAATCAAATTTTTTTAGGAACGTCCTAGAGACTCGGGAGTTGGTTCATTGCACTCAGAAAAATCCTAGCTCCAAGCCCAACCCTAACCCTAGCTCCAACACTAACCCTAACTCCAACCCTAACCCTAACCCTAACCCTAGCTCCAACCCTAACCCTAACCCTAACCCATGCATTCCTATGGGAAAAAATCAAATTTTTTTAGGAACGTCCTAGAGACTCGGGAGTTGGTTCATTGCACTCAGAAAAATCCTAGCTCCAAGCCCAACCCTAACCCTAGCTCCAACACTAACCCTAACTCCAACCCTAACCCTAACCCTAACCCTAGCTCCAACCCTAACCCTAACCCTAACCCATGCATTCCTATGGGAAAAAATCAAATTTTTTTAGGAACGTCCTAGAGACTCGGGAGTTGGTTCATTGCACTCAGAAAAATCCTAGCTCCAAGCCCAACCCTAACCCTAGCTCCAACACTAACCCTAACTCCAACCCTAACCCTAACCCTAACCCTAGCTCCAACCCTAACCCTAACCCTAACCCATGCATTCCTATGGGAAAAAAATCAAATTTTTTTAGGAACGTCCTAGAGACTCGGGAGTTGGTTCATTGCACTCAGAAAAACCCTAGCTCTAAGCCCAACCCTAACCCTAGCTCGAACACTAACCCTAACTCCAACCCTAACCCTAACCCTAACCCTAACCCTAGCTCCAACCCTAACCCTAACCCTAACCCATGCATTCCTATGGGAAAAAATCAAAATTTTTTAGGAACGTCCTAGAGACTCGGGAGTTGGTTCATTGCACTCAGAAAAATCCTAGCTCCAAGCCCAACCCTAACCCTAGCTCCAACACTAACCCTAACTCCAACCCTAACCCTAGCTCCAACCCTAACCCTAACCCTAACCCATGCATTCCTATGGGAAAAAATCAAATTTTTTTAGGAACGTCCTAGAGACTCTGGAGTTGGTTCATTGCACTCAGAAAAATCCTAGCTCCAAGCCCAACCCTAACCCTAGCTCCAACACTAACCCTAACTCCAACCCTAACCCTAACCCTAGCTCCAACCCTAACCCTAACCTTAACCCATGCATTCCTATGGGAAAAAATCAAATTTTTTTAGGAATGTCCTAGAGACTCGGGAGTTGGTTCATTGCACTCAGAAAAATCCTAGCTCCAAGCCCAACCCTAACCCTAGCTCCAACACTAACCCTAACTCCAACCCTAACCCTAACCCTAACCCTAGCTCCAACCCTAACCCTAACCCTAACCCATGCATTCCTATGGGAAAAAATCAAATTTTTTTAGGAACGTCCTAGAGACTCGGGAGTTGGTTCATTGCACTCAGAAAAATCCTAGCTCCAAGCCCAACCCTAACCCTAGCTCCAACACTAACCCTAACTCCAACCCTAACCCTAACCCTAACCCTAGCTCCAACCCTAACCCTAACCCTAACCCATGCATTCCTATGGGAAAAAATCGAATTTTTTAGGAACGTCCTAGAGACTCGGGAGTTGGTTCATTGCACTCAGAAAAATCCTAGCTCCAAGCCCAACCCTAACCCTAGCTCCAACACTAACCCTAACTCCAACCCTAACCCTAACCCTAACCCTAGCTCCAACCCTAACCCTAACCCTAACCCATGCATTCCTATGGGAAAAAATCAAATTTTTTTAGGAACGTCCTAGAGACTCGGGAGTTGGTTCATTGCACTCAGAAAAATCCTAGCTCCAAGCCCAACCCTAACCCTAGCTCCAACACTAACCCTAACTCCAACCCTAACCCTAACCCTAACCCTAGCTCCAACCCTAACCCTAACCCTAACCCATGCATTCCTATGGGAAAAAATCAAATTTTTTTAGGAACGTCCTAGAGACTCGGGAGTTGGTTCATTGCACTCAGAAAAATCCTAGCTCCAAGCCCAACCCGAACCCTAACCCTAGCTCCAACACTAACCCTAACTCCAACTCCAACCCTAACCCTAACCCTAACCCTAGCTCCAACCCTAACCCTAACCCTAACCCTAACCCATGCATTCCTATGGGAAAAAATCAAATTTTTTTAGGAACGTCCTAGAGACTCAGGAGTTGGTTCATTGCACTCAGAAAAATCCTAGCTCCAAGCCCAACCCTAACCCTAGCTCCAACACTAACCCTAACTCCAACCCTAACCCTAGCTCCAACCCTAACCCTAACCCTAACCCATGCATTCCTATGGGAAAAAATCAAATTTTTTTAGGAACGTCCTAGAGACTCGGGAGTTGGTTCATTGCACTCAGAAAAATCCTAGCTCCAAGCCCAACCCTAACCCTAGCTCCAACACTAACCCTAACTCCAACCCTAACCCTAACCCTAACCCTAGCTCCAACCCTAACCCTAACCCTAACCCATGCATTCCTATGGGAAAAAATCAAATTTTTTTAGGAACGTCCTAGAGACTCGGGAGTTGGTTCATTGCACTCAGAAAAATCCTAGCTCCAAGCCCAACCCTAACCCTAGCTCCAACACTAACCCTAACTCCAACCCTAACCCTAACCCTAACCCTAGCTCTAACCCTAACCCTAACCCATGCATTCCTATGGGAAAAAATCAAATTTTTTTAGGAACGTCCTAGAGACTCAGGAGTTGGTTCATTGCACTCAGAAAAATCCTAGCTCCAAGCCCAACCCTAACCCTAGCTCCAACACTAACCCTAACTCCAACCCTAACCCTAACCCTAGCTCCAACCCTAACCCTAACCCTAACCCTAACCCATGCATTCCTATGGGAAAAAATCAAATTTTTTTAGGAACGTCCTAGAGACTCAGGAGTTGGTTCATTGCACTCAGAAAAATCCTAGCTCCAAGCCCAACCCTAACCCTAGCTCCAACACTAACCCTAACTCCAACCCTAACCCTAACCCTAACCCTAACCCTAGCTCCAACCCTAACCCTAACCCTAACCCATGCATTCCTATGGGAAAAAATCAAATTTTTTTAGGAACGTCCTAGAGACTCGGGAGTTGGTTCATTGCACTCAGAAAAATCCTAGCTCCAAGCCCAACCCTAACCCTAGCTCCAACACTAACCCTAACTCCAACCCTAACCCTAACCCTAACCCTAGCTCCAACCCTAACCCTAACCCTAACCCATGCATTCCTATGGGAAAAAATCAAATTTTTTTAGGAACGTCCTAGAGACTCTGGAGTTGGTTCATTGCACTCAGAAAAATCCTAGCTCCAAGCCCAACCCTAACCCTAGCTCCAACACTAACCCTAACTCCAACCCTAACCCTAACCCTAGCTCCAACCCTAACCCTAACCTTAACCCATGCATTCCTATGGGAAAAAATCAAATTTTTTTAGGAACGTCCTAGAGACTCGGGAGTTGGTTCATTGCACTCAGAAAAACCCTAGCTCTAAGCCCAACCCTAACCCTAGCTCCAACACTAACCCTAACTCCAACCCTAACCCTAACCCTAACCCTAGCTCCAACCCTAACCCTAACCCTAACCCATGCATTCCTATGGGAAAAAATCAAATTTTTTTAGGAACGTCCTAGAGACTCGGGAGTTGGTTCATTGCACTCAGAAAAATCCTAGCTCCAAGCCCAACCCTAACCCTAGCTCCAACACTAACCCTAACTCCAACCCTAACCCTAACCCTAACCCTAGCTCCAACCCTAACCCTAACCCTAACCCATGCATTCCTATGGGAAAAAATCAAATTTTTTTAGGAACGTCCTAGAGACTCGGGAGTTGGTTCATTGCACTCAGAAAAATCCTAGCTCCAAGCCCAACCCTAACCCTAGCTCCAACACTAACCCTAACTCCAACCCTAACCCTAACCCTAACCCTAGCTCCAACCCTAACCCTAACCCTAACCCATGCATTCCTATGGGAAAAAAATCAAATTTTTTTAGGAACGTCCTAGAGACTCGGGAGTTGGTTCATTGCACTCAGAAAAACCCTAGCTCTAAGCCCAACCCTAACCCTAGCTCCAACACTAACCCTAACTCCAACCCTAACCCTAACCCTAACCCTAACCCTAACCCTAGCTCCAACCCTAACCCTAACCCTAACCCATGCATTCCTATGGGAAAAAATCAAAATTTTTTAGGAACGTCCTAGAGACTCGGGAGTTGGTTCATTGCACTCAGAAAAATCCTAGCTCCAAGCCCAACCCTAACCCTAGCTCCAACACTAACCCTAACTCCAACCCTAACCCTAGCTCCAACCCTAACCCTAACCCTAACCCATGCATTCCTATGGGAAAAAATCAATTTTTTTTAGGAACGTCCTAGAGACTCTGGAGTTGGTTCATTGCACTCAGAAAAATCCTAGCTCCAAGCCCAACCCTAACCCTAGCTCCAACACTAACCCTAACTCCAACCCTAACCCTAACCCTAGCTCCAACCCTAACCCTAACCTTAACCCATGCATTCCTATGGGAAAAAATCAAATTTTTTTAGGAATGTCCTAGAGACTCGGGAGTTGGTTCATTGCACTCAGAAAAATCCTAGCTCCAAGCCCAACCCTAACCCTAGCTCCAACACTAACCCTAACTCCAACCCTAACCCTAACCCTAGCTCCAACCCTAACCCTAACCTTAACCCATGCATTCCTATGGGAAAAAATCAAATTTTTTTAGGAATGTCCTAGAGACTCGGGAGTTGGTTCATTGCACTCAGAAAAATCCTAGCTCCAAGCCCAACCCTAACCCTAGCTCCAACACTAACCCTAACTCCAACCCTAACCCTAACCCTAACCCTAGCTCCAACCCTAACCCTAACCCTAACCCATGCATTCCTATGGGAAAAAATCAAATTTTTTTAGGAACGTCCTAGAGACTCGGGAGTTGGTTCATTGCACTCAGAAAAATCCTAGCTCCAAGCCCAACCCTAACCCTAGCTCCAACACTAACCCTAACTCCAACCCTAACCCTAACCCTAACCCTAGCTCCAACCCTAACCCTAACCCTAACCCATGCATTCCTATGGGAAAAAATCAAATTTTTTTAGGAACGTCCTAGAGACTCGGGAGTTGGTTCATTGCACTCAGAAAAATCCTAGCTCCAAGCCCAACCCTAACCCTAGCTCCAACACTAACCCTAACTCCAACCCTAACCCTAACCCTAACCCTAGCTCCAACCCTAACCCTAACCCTAACCCATGCATTCCTATGGGAAAAAATCAAATTTTTTTAGGAACGTCCTAGAGACTCGGGAGTTGGTTCATTGCACTCAGAAAAATCCTAGCTCCAAGCCCAACCCTAACCCTAGCTCCAACACTAACCCTAACTCCAACCCTAACCCTAACCCTAACCCTAGCTCCAACCCTAACCCTAACCCTAACCCATGCATTCCTATGGGAAAAAAATCAAATTTTTATAGGAACGTCCTAGAGACTCGGGAGTTGGTTCATTGCACTCAGAAAAACCCTAGCTCTAAGCCCAACCCTAACCCTAGCTCCAACACTAACCCTAACTCCAACCCTAACCCTAACCCTAACCCTAGCTCCAACCCTAACCCTAACCCTAACCCATGCATTCCTATGGGAAAAAATCAAATTTTTTTAGGAACGTCCTAGAGACTCGGGAGTTGGTTCATTGCACTCAGAAAAATCCTAGCTCCAAGCCCAACCCTAACCCTAGCTCCAACACTAACCCTAACTCCAACCCTAACCCTAACCCTAACCCTAGCTCCAACCCTAACCCTAACCCTAACCCATGCATTCCTATGGGAAAAAATCAAATTTTTTTAGGAACGTCCTAGAGACTCGGGAGTTGGTTCATTGCACTCAGAAAAATCCTAGCTCCAAGCCCAACCCTAACCCTAGCTCCAACACTAACCCTAACTCCAACCCTAACCCTAACCCTAACCCTAGCTCCAACCCTAACCCTAACCCTAACCCATGCATTCCTATGGGAAAAAATCAAATTTTTTTAGGAACGTCCTAGAGACTCGGGAGTTGGTTCATTGCACTCAGAAAAATCCTAGCTCCAAGCCCAACCCTAACCCTAGCTCCAACACTAACCCTAACTCCAACCCTAACCCTAACCCTAACCCTAGTTCCAACCCTAACCCTAACCCTAACCCTAACCCATGCATTCCTATGGGAAAAAATCAATTTTTTTTAGGAACGTCCTAGAGACTCGGGAGTTGGTTCATTGCACTCAGAAAAATCCTAGCTCCAAGCCCAACCCTAACCCTAGCTCCAACACTAACCCTAACTCCAACCCTAACCCTAACCCTAGCTCCAACCCTAACCCTAACCCTAACCCATGCATTCCTATGGGAAAAAATCAAATTTTTTTAGGAACGTCCTAGAGACTCGGGAGTTGGTTCATTGCACTCAGAAAAATCCTAGCTCCAAGCCCAACCCTAACCCTAGCTCCAACACTAACCCTAACTCCAACCCTAACCCTAACCCTAGCTCCAACCCTAACCCTAACCTTAACCCATGCATTCCTATGGGAAAAAATCAAATTTTTTTTAGGAACGTCCTAGAGACTCGGGAGTTGGTTCATTGCACTCAGAAAAATCCTAGCTCCAAGCCCAACCCTAACCCTAGCTCCAACACTAACCCTAACTCCAACCCTAACCCTAACCCTAAACCTAGCTCCAAGCCTAACCCTAACCCTAACCCATGCATTCCTATGGGAAAAAATCAAATTTTTTTAGGAACGTCCTAGAGACTCGGGAGTTGGTTCATTGCACTCAGAAAAATCCTAGCTCCAAGCCCAACCCTAACCCTAGCTCCAACACTAACCCGAACTCCAACCCTAACCCTAACCCTTACCCTAGCTCCAACCCTAACCCTAACCCTAACCCATGCATTCCTATGGGAAAAAATCAAATTTTTTTAGGAACGTCCTAGAGACTCAGGAGTTGGTTCATTGCACTCAGAAAAATCCTAGCTCCAAGCCCAACCCTAACCCTAGCTCCAACACTAACCCTAACTCCAACCCTAACCCTAACCCTAACCCTAACCCTAACCCTAGCTCCAACCTTAACACTAGAAGGACCGGCTTTTTGCTGTTCTACCTATAAAGACCAGAGGGCAGCCAAATGGCTTGGAGGGCTTTTAGCTAGTACTAAATCACCTCTGAACACTCAGTTTGTTATGCAAACGAGGCTATCGCTGGTGCACCACAGGAGGGGATATGCTAAGTTATTTCAAGGAAACTTGGGAGAGTTGGGACTTGTGGGGAGAGTGAGTGGGGAGGGGGGGGGGAGTTTCCAACCTGAGAACAACTGTAGACAGAAACTGCTTCAGCCATAGCCACTGCACAGACAGTTTGGGCCTCTGTTTGTTTTGTTTGGTTCTACTTCTCCTGATGTTCCTGCACCTCAGCAGATGCCCCAGCGGTCGGTCCACGGACAAAAACTGTTGGTACTTTATATTAATGACATTGTAAATGTATCTAAATTGTTAAATTGCATACTGTTTGCATATGACACTACATTTTTTATACTCTGGTGAAGCTGTTGAGAATATGAATGTGAGAATGACCATAACGACTCAGGTGAATGCAACCAGTCCCATTCACAGGATCACTATTTGATTGACAATTTATCACATTTTCTGGTTTGCTGGTGAGCAAACCTGGGAAACCCCCAGATCATGGCAACCATGCCCCGAAATCGCTTCAAAGACATCATGCGACACCTACGCTTTGATGACAGGGACACCCGCAGTGAGCGCACAAAGACTGACAAGTTTGCTGCAATTTCTGCTGTGTGGTCATCATTTGTCACCAACTGCATCACATCCTACAACCCTGGTCGACACATCACCATTGACGAACAGCTTTTCCCCTCAAAGACTCGCTGCTGTTTCCTGCAGTACATTGCAACGAAACCTGACAAGTTTGGGATCAAGTTTTGGGTGGCTTGTGACTTGAAATCCAAGTACATCTGCAATGTCCTCCCATATCTTGGCAAGGACCCCAGTCGTCCCAGTGGGGAGAGACTGTCCGAGAATGTAGTCATGAGGCTGATGGAACCATTCCTGGACAAGGGCAGAAATGTTACCACGGACAATTTCTTTACATCACTGTCACTTGCGCAACAACTGCTTAGGCGGAAAACCACCATCCTAGGCACAGTCAACAAGATTCGCCAGGAAATTCCACAGTCATCTAGACAGAGGGACTGCAATGAACTTTACAATGCTACAAAGTGCAGCGTGGATGTGATGGACCAGATGGTGCGGGAGTACACTTTCCGCACAGGAACATGGCGCTGGCCAGTCGCTGTGTTCTATAACATGATTGATATGGCAGCATTGGATGCACATGTGCTGTATCAAGCATGCACTGGGAGGAAGGAGAGACGGGTGGACTTCCTGGTGGAGCTTGCAAGAGAGTTGGCTAACTCTCATGTGACTGCGAAGAAGGCATGAAAGGAAGAATTGCTTCGGCAACAACCTTCCACACCTAGCCCTGGGATAAGAGCCATGTGCCAGGTTAAAAATCAGTGTAAGAACAATCATGCCACTGTGCGATGTGTTGACTGCTACAGATACACATGTGGGAAATGCAGAAGGGAGATACCATGGCAGTGCCAGGATTGTGAGTGAGAGTCTAACACTGTATCCTGATGATGCATATTCACCTGAAGTCCATCACCAACCTTTTTATACTTTATATATGTCCTGCATGCTCTTGTTAATTTCTATTCTTGTATTTTACATATTATTCTCCGTTTAATGTTGCACCATCACGCCGTAAAAAATCCTAGCATTGTACATAGCCTTTCATACTTTTATTCTTTATATATGTCCTGCATGCTCTTATTTTTTATTCTTGTATTTTACATATTATACTCTGTTTAATGTTGCACCATCACGCCGTAAAAAATTCCTAGTCTGTGAAACCTGTTCATTGACAATAGCAATAAAACCCCTTGTGATTCTGATTCTGATTCTTGTTCTTATTCTATACAGTTGTTTAAATTTTGTTTATTTTTAATCAATAAATTTCAGCAACAAAGTAAACAACCCATGTGTGTTGATCCCTTCCTTTCTGTTGTCCCTTCCCACTGCATACACCACTTAGTCCAGTCCCCTCCTGTGGAGCACCAACGATCACCTCGTTTGCATAATAAAATGAGTGCTCACAGGTGATTTAGGATATTAGCTAAAATCCTTCCAGCCGATCGGCTGCCCCGTGGACCTTGAGGGGGGTAAAGCCAAATGGCTGCTCTGTGGTCCTTCTAGTGTTAACGTGACCAGGCCTCCCAGATTTCCAGGGACAGTTCCCATATTGGATGACCTGTCTTCGGCTAAATCTGTGCCCGGAAACATCCCGATTTAAGCGTTTCATGAATGAGAACAAAAATGTTGCGTGTAGACTAGAACAACAGTCATTACGGTAGCCAAGTAGGTAAGAAGCATGAGTAAGCATGTCGTGCGCAGTCCTGAGCAACATTTTTTATGGGGGGTTATTACGGGGGGCATGCGTTGTTACTAAGTAGTACCGAGTTGTTGTCTGTGATCACGTAGCCCATGCCCCTAGCTCTGGATGTCCCCCGATTTCATTACAGAAATCTGTTCACCTTACTATTACTCCAATTGTCTCGTTTTATTATGGCTGAGTCTTGGCTACCTCTAGAATAATGACTGGATGCCACTCTGTTTTAGCTAAACTTAAAGCATCTTACAGGCTAATGTTACAAAGGTGAAAGGTGCTACAATGTAAAACTTAACAAGCTGTACCTCAGAGTTTTAAGATGGCAGTAAGCTTCTTGGTTAGCATCTTAACAAGGCTGTTGTCAGCCTAACATTAGCACGTCCAAATGCTAGCTTGGTTTTTCAAGCATTTCTGTGGAGGAACAAGAATTAAGAACATTCTTGTCTACTGGCTCCAAGTAAAAATCATAGTACAACTTTTTTTACTTCAAAGGATGTTTGCACAACCAGTTTCTTACTATGGGGTAAGACCGATCAGTTTTAGTAAATCTTCCAATATTCCCAAAGGCAAATCTGAAAACATCAGGAAAGGCAAAGTTAAGTGTGCCAGGAGAAGCTGGCTTGTTGGTCGGATTGGTTTTATGTCAACTGAATATTTATGCACCAAAAGGAGGAAGACGAACCATGAACCATGAGAGGCAAAGCAGGCCAGTTCTTCAGGCTCCCATAACTAGAAAGCTGAAATTAGAGGCAGCTAAGAAACTAAATCTGAAATAAAAGCCCAACCAGCATGACATTTGATTTACTTGTGCCATTTATTGTGATGTGAATGTAAAACCCAACTTCATCACAGCCTGTTGTTAGGTTACAGTGAGAAACCCAAAATAAAATCAAGAGGATCAGTAAGAAAAACCACAAGACATGTTCAGTTTAAAGTAGTATGATAATTAAAATGCATACTCAACTTTTTTTTATTGGTCAAAACCGAGTAACAATGGTAAGTGAATTTGACAATACAGGTTGAAATCTTCAGCAGCAAAGACATAAAAAAGAGGAGCTTATACAAGTGCTGCAGTTACTTCCTGCATCTGAAGGCTGATAATACCATTGCCGTGGAAGTGCATTAACCTTTGTGTCATGTTAAAAAAAAATAATAATAATAATAATTCAAATCAGAATCACCTCACTGCACTTAATCCCTCACACCTTGTTGCTAAAACAGTCCTGATCTGATTGGAGAGCTTCCACACACCACTGACTGTATATCAGATGGACAATGAGTCTATAGCTCCCCTTGCTGTGAGATAATGGGCATTATTTTCGTGCCCACCGGCGGCATGGTGGAGGGTGGCGCACCCCACGCAGTGGTATTTTCGTCTGGCGGAGCCCGGCGCACAGCCAGTTTGGTATTTTTGTAGACTGAGGCGCACGAGGTCCGCCAAGCTGGGCATGGCGGCGTGGCAGGGGGAGGTGTCGACAGAATCAGCTGGTGCAGTGACATTTTCGTGGAGAGGAGCTGATGTGATTGGCGAAAACAGGTCTCGGCTCTGTTAAACCCACTCCACGTTTTATCTCCTCCCTCTCTGCTACTTACGCCGCTGGGAGGAGCTGAGTTAGGGAGGGGGGATACTTATGTCGGGCTGCGCAACTCGCCACCGGCGAGGCACAAAAATAGAGCCCAATAAGTCAAAAAGGTGCTGACACACTGCACTAGTGGAGCCAAAGTATGCACAGGGGCGATCTGGCTGTTTGCATAGCAGAACTGATGTTGCACACCCATCAAACTTGTCAATACACACTGGAGGTCCCTCAGGTGGGTGCAGCTCACAGCAGTATAGATTTTTGTGTTGATGGCAGTCAGACACTTACACCTGCTCTTGTGTTTGTTACATTTCTGCTTGTTGTTCCACCTCTGCTCTGCTAATCCAGGTCAGAAAACTGCAGGAGCCTGCATTTGTTTGCAGATCTATTAGCTAATTATCTTTTTTAAAATCAAGTAACTAATTAAAACCTCAACGTCTCAGAAAAATGAACACTTAGATAAAGATAAGCATGACAAGAAATAACAGATACTGTGTTGTTGAACAATTAATTTGACATGTATTTTAAAGATACATTTTGACTGTTAATATTTAGGGACTTGGCGTTTGTGACCTTTACTGGAGTCAGTCAGTAGGGGGAGCTCTAAATCTATTGGCTTTGTATTTATTGAATAGTTGTGGCATCTGAGCAGATATTTTAAGATAAGGTAAAAAAAAAAAAACTAGTAGCATTTGGAGAATATTAATAGTAAATAAAATCAAATAGAAATTAAAAAATAAAAAGGAAACATAAGACAGACAACAATAAAGACAGTAAATAAAATAAATTTGGTGTTATGGAGGCTACAGCTCTAAGGAAGCAGCCACTCCTTAGTCTGACTGTCCATACTCTGATATTTTCCATATCGTTTGTCTGATGCTGGGGGAACAAACAGTCAGTTTCCTGGGTTAGTTAAGTCCTTAATGACGCTGTTAGCCCTCACGTGTAAGCAGCGAGCATAAACTGTGTCCACATTTGGCAGTTAGGTTCCTACAATCCTCTGTCCTGTACACCATGTTCTTTAAACAGAGCGTTTTTGTAGTGGCTCATTTTCAATTTTATATTTTGTGAGATTATTTTACACAGATTCTAAGCTCCCAGGCTGAATTTATAAAACCTTCATGTGATTAAAAAGATATCCAATATGCTGCTTTTGTCTACCATAAAAAAAAGATATATTCAGTTTAAATCATTGATTTGAGGCTCCAGTGTGCAGACCCTGATGTGAATTTGATTTTCTGGTGCATTATTTAGGTATTACCAATCATTACCCCACAGTCAGTTTATTTGCTGTTCCAAACATCAGTACTGGGCTTGTTTCAGGACAATAATCTACTGCTGCTTAAGATTTGTACCAATTTTTTTCCAAACAGATTTTGGTCATAGCCAGCAATTTATTCCAGTATTTCTTTTTTCTTTCTCCGTGTTTGAAACCACTCTTAAGGGTATGCAGAGTATCACTTCCTCCTGGCCGGAGCATAATATGAAACTTATCAAGACTTTCAAGTTTGGATATTTATGGGTAAAAACTGAAACTAATTTTTGTCGTAAAAACTTGAATCATTATGATGAATATAGAGCCTGCATGTGTACTTCATTACACCTTTTCGATGGTTCCAGTGGAGCAAATTTATCCAGCCTTTTTTCATTCACAAGAAAAGAGGGTCTTTATTTAGTAGTGAGTGCTGGACTCTTCGTGCAGCTCCCAGAGGCTGGGACAAAAGCCTGACGGTTGCCTGACAGTCACAAAGGTGGGCATATTTAGCTGGTTGATCAGTTTCAGCTGCACATGAGGCTTGTTTTCTGTGAGCACATGGCTTTAATGGAAAACCACTAACATGATATCTACTTGTTGATCAAATATCAACTCTGCAGGCTATTTAGAGGAAACTGTAAAAAGACACTTAAGTGAGGACATGAAATTGAAGCATCCTAAACTGGGGAAGAAAGCTCATAATCACTCCCCCTGAGTTACTGACTCACTGGAACACTTGAATAGAGCAGAGTTGTTGATAATGTTATTAGTAACACTGGTTACACCTGGCATCACCTCTATATCACACATGCTTCGCCTTGGAGCCTGATAACATGAAAACAGCTGAGGGAGAAATTGGTGATTTACACATACAGGGATCTTGATTTTATTAAGCAATCTGGACCATGACATCAACCAACCTTTTTTTCTCTGATCACATTCACTCTCTAAAAGATGTATTTTTTTTATGAAGCTGGGCCGACATTTAATGAATCACTCCACTTTTTTTACATTATGAAGTGTCGTTTTGCTCTCCAGGTCAGTGCAGTTCCCTTGAAGCGAACATGACCGTCTGAAGTGCTTCCATTAGGTTTTATGTTTTCTCATGGACATGAAGGTCCCGTCTAAATATACTCACACATGTCTGGACTCCAGAGTCGTAAATTAAACCCAGGGGCTTCTTTTTTTGTTTGGCTCTCCTGCGCATGCCATCTGTCTAACTTTCACTTTGTTCCTGTTTTTCTTTGTGTTTGTGTGTTTATCCCACAATTCACCAGGGTTACTCTCACTGAATGCTGTTTCTCATCTCCACACATCCTGTTTGACACATGTCTAAATACAGCTGAGCTGCTCTGAATTTTTAACCCAGTTCTTTGTCTATCTCTGTGCTTTGGTTATCTTCGCAAAAATACTCAGACTCCATTTGACTGTTTACAGGGTTTACACAAATATGTAAGTTTTCTGATGCTAGGAGATTACTCCAAATCCAAACCTGGACCCTTTTTGACTTTTAAACTTGAACGTTCTGCTTTTTAAAGGTCGACGCCTGCAAGTGTTTACTTCAGCACAAACTCCTGACACTCACTCTCTCACAAGCAGGGACCACACACACTCAATATACAGTATACAGTATGCATGTGTGTGTGTGTGTTCCAATTAATAGTTAAAGTCTGTGTTGGCATCAGCACTTTCCTTTCAATAACCCAGAGGCTTCTCACAGAACCAGATATCCTGAAAATACTTCTTTTATTACAGCAGTGAAAGGAAAATACAGCCTTAAATATTCTCCAAACTCAATCTGTGCCACCAACTGAGAGGATAATGTGAAAATATGTTTTGACATACTGTATGATTTAGTTTAATAACTGTTTTCCTTGACCTTCTTCTAAATTTGTGTGTAAGTCCCTCACTAAAAAACGCCTCCAAGTTTCCCTTTATTGATTCTCACCACGTTCCACTGAGCTGGATGCCAAGAAGTCGCTCTGATTGAGAGTTCAGGTGAGATCCAGAAAATAATCAGGAGCCGAAGGAAATTTGTAGCTTAGATTTAGATCTGCATATCGATCCCTTCGACAGGAACATGATGTGTCAGATCAACTTGCTCAGAAAATCCCACAATTCAACACTGAATCTTGGCGGGATGATTGACCTGTGAGGTCACAAATTAAAGACAGCAACAGAGGAAAATCTGAGACCACAGACGGTAAGTCCCTGACCTATAAAACAGCTCGTCTCGGCCCCAAATTGCAGCGTGATTCAGAATCATCAAATTAACATCATATCGTTCATACATTGTCAGTCCCTGGAGTCAGAACTCTCTTCTGTGACAGCAGTGCATAATGGCGGCCATTTTCCAAATTTCAACCCATTTTTCAAAACCCCGTCACATGTTAGAAAATCAACGCATAAAAAAGGTGAAAAACAGTCGCAGTGAACATGACTCACTCCATATCACTCATTCTTATTACTCACCAGACAGCCTGCGAGACACAGCATCGCCCTCTACCTTCACCTCACACAGGAAGCGTCTCACCAGGAGATCAATTGAGGGAAGATATGAAGACGGTATTTCATGTTGCTGTTATTTTCCCCGGGTGTTGCGCTGTAGCCCCTGGTTGTTAATTCACAGATGTTCAGAGATGAACACCGACCATTACTGACACACTGTTTGTGCCTGTGGACTTGGTGGATTGCTCATCTCTGTTAAATTATTGTGTGTTTGCTGTTGAGACCTTGAATATACAGCAATATGCTGTGCTAGCACTTGTACACTGCAGCATCGAGTGTCCTTATGTGACCTCAGCAAAACTGGGCTATTTGGTTTCAAAGGGCACAGCCCCGATGTAATTACACATCTGTTGGTGCTTTATCCTCCTTTCATCCTTAATTCCCATTTTCGCCATGTAAAATATTTACCCAGGTCAGTCATAATCACAGTGTCAGTGGTGCGGACACTGACCTGCACGCTTTCTACCACGCCCCTGGAAACTAGGATGTTATTTTCCACCAAACATGTAGTAAAGGTACATCTGAGAGTCGTCTTTGGTTCATCATTTTTTCTTTATTTTTTAAATGAGTGGAAACTACATGGCATGTAATGTGAGAGGTTATACAGAAATGCACCCTATCATTTCACTCCACGCTAAAATCCTTAGATTATATCACATAAAACTTTATATGGTTCTCCTTCCTGTATTTTGTCGTATCATATACTTCAACCATGAGCTACATCCTCTGTATATTATATTTGTGTTACGAGGCATGGCGGTCCCTGTTTCATCGTAATGGCCTGCCTCAAACTGACCTGCCGACAGAAGCGTCTCCCACACACAGTGATCAAAACAGGCCTCTTACTGCTCTCAGGCCCTCCATGTATGCAGGCAGCAGCCCAAGACAGCGCTATAGCAAAACCTCAACTGCTGTACCTCCCAGTGAGCTCCTCGCTGCATCCGTGCCGTTCCATGTGAACCAGCCTGACAGCTGTGCCTTCACTTTCTCTGTGATTTCGACCTCAGTATTTGACCATAAAATGGATTCCCATGTGAAGGAAAACACCGTCCACCCCATGCTGATGTACCCCCTAATTACAATTGATGTTTTTTCCATGGATCCTGACCAGAATGTTGCACGGCAGACTTCACAGATGGGCAGAATGTGGAAGGCAATGATCATCTAAAGACTGGAAGAGTATTACAAGACATCTAATGGGATTTCAAGAAACTGTTCTTTGATTTGATGATATGGTTGTGGTTGCTTACGATGTACTTTGCTGAGGATTTAATTGTAAAGCTTCTGTCATACTTATCAGCCTGTTATCACTTGCTTATTGTGCTCATTGTGGCATCTCAAAAGAGGAAAAAGTTACATAGGTCAATGTCACTGGAGTTTTTGTCGTAATGGCACTCCAAAAGTATTTTTTTGAAAACAGCAGTTCACCCCAATGAGGTCATTTAAAGGCACAATGACGAGTTTTTAACTGGTTTAGAAACAGACTGAAACTGGTCCTGAAGCCTCTTTATACCTATCAGAAGCAAGCCAGACCATCAACAACAAGACTGATCATTTCCACTGTTACTTAAATTGTCTAAGATCACAGTGAGGAGGGTAGGCGTCAGAGCAGATGATTGACAGCATGCTTGAAAACAGCCTTTTAGATTTATATCCATGATTTTTATGTATACAAACACTTCTCTCTCACATACAGAACAACAGGGGGCGCTAAAATCAACACAAATCAAAAGTTCCTCACAGCAGCCCAAAATCTTTTTGTAGTTTTTATGGCTGTACGAAACAAAAGAGATCAACAACAAGGTATCAAATGGCATTATGCAATGTTTCAAATAGTAATTGACAGGATTTTCAGACAGTCAACTAATTGCACAAGTATAACTAAAACTGAACTTTAAAAAAATGAAAAGTATTTTGAGTGTATTTGAGTCCTTGTTTTGGTCTATGGTTTACACCTTAGTTACGCCTCTCTCCCACAGTTCTCCTCCACCTCATTACTCATGCAGCAAGGGTCTGTGTTCAGAAAATCTGATAAACCCACTTCAGGCCACTTATTCAACAAGAACAGATAAAGCTTGCCCCTTACAGTGGGGTATTTGATTGCTAAAGGTCTGGAATATTTCTTGAGTTTTTGACACCAAACATGTCTAAAAAAGAGTAACGGTTCACCTTTTCACACAGCAGCCATTTTTCAGATGATGTTATGTTGAAGGTGGTAATCTCAGGTGTGGTTATGTTTCACTGCTGTGTTACAAGGGGTAATACCTTGGCTCAATACAAGTTACTTTGTATGGAGCCATACTTAAATAAAACTAAAGCTTCAAAAACCAATAGTTAGGCAACGGCTAATATTAGCATTTACCAACTCTCTTCCCACATTGCTATCAAAGAGGATTTTACATTTTTCCTACAATGTTTTTGTAAATCTGTTGAATACAAAAACAAGCATGCTGTTGGTTGCATGCTTACATGAGCGTCCGTGTAAAACAAGCCAATTGATATCAATTACAATGTTTTGATAGTGTCTGATGACCTTTCCTTGCTAATTTTTTTTTTTCAGTTGTTGTCAAACTAGAAGCAAAGAGGTATTGATGACTTTGCAGATCTTTAATCTTCATGTAATTAAAAGCTGGGGATACAAATGCATCCTTGTCAGTAACAGAACAAAAACATTGCATTGAACAACAGCCTTTTTTCTATCCTGAGTGTGAAATCAGAGAAAATGTCTGTAGGGTGAATATAAACAGTTGGACCTGCAGTATGTAGTGGGCCAGGAACACAGCTATGCAGACCCTGGTCTGATAATGTTTTCAGACTTTCAACTAAACTGTCTATACCTGTCTGATAACATGGTGGAACTGATTCTGATGGTTGAAAAAGGAGGCAAAGGAAGCCAATTAAAGAATTAGCATCTCTGCATGCCATTACATGAGCCATCTTGGTATTCCATTATCTAGAAAAAGACCATCAACCCTCTGTTGTTGGAATGCTGTTTAGTTTTAATGACCAGCTGATCAGGTCCAAGCACTTTAACTCTCAGCTTCTTCAGCAAAGATCTCAAACTAAGTTATTTCTAGCGACTTCAAGGATTTACCGTAATGCTGTGTGCCTTGCCCTTCATCCCTCAATTTTAAGGGCTGTAGCCCTTTTGCTGCCACCTGCTGGCTGTAGGTATGTTATGCAGTTTAAACACTATTAATTTTGCCTAATAAAGAGGAGTGAATGCAGCATGTGCAGCTTATATCTTGATTCAGAGGAGGCTTGGCTGCACAAATGATTGTACCTTGGACTGGAAACATATGACTGATAAGCAACTTTGAATATTAAGAACATCTTTATTCTACATTTCTAAAGAAGTGTAATAAATTAATTCAACAGCCTTAAAAAATTTACCTTCATCTTTTTAAAAAACTTTTGGATATTTCTGAATAATTCTTAAAATCTCATCTAATAAGGGTCTGCTATTGTCTAAGTGGAGCGTAGTGGGACAGTGGCCTAGCGCTCTCTATTGACCTGTTGCTACTGACAATAAGTGGATTATTCACAGGGGATGCCAGATGGCAAGGCCCTTTATTGAGACAGTGGCCTCTAACTAAGATGAGGAGTTCTGGGCCATCTAACTATTGATTTCCAGCATTTTTTAATGTGAATCAGTCGTTTTTAACTGTGAGTGAGTCATGTAAAGAAAAAACACAAATATGACTCACATATCAGAAAAAAATGAATACCTCCTCCTGCATTTAAATAAGATTTCATCTGCTCTTTTCATATAGTCATTTCAAAGCTATAACTCATAGAAATAATCAATTAATCACATTCTGTTCACCGAATTAATGTGATCTTTGCCAGATCCAAATACTGCCTTGTGCCTTTGAATGTTACTGTACATGTTACCTGATGCATTAAATGTTTAAGCTGGTCTGGGGTGACACAAAGCCTTGGAGAAACACATCTCAGCGATCCAATTTACGGTTGAGATGCTGCCTGGTGATCCCCACTGTTCAATTCTCTGCTGCTCAAATGAACCTAAAAATACCACAAACTTTGACTCTCGCATGGACAATTTCCGATGGCTGCAGAAGGCTGACTCCAGAGAGCCACATGGTGCAGTGATTCATAACAGACGTCATGAGTGCTGATCTTTATTCACATCACCTAACCCTTGACTCTGAAGGACATCTTGTGTCACCGGCATGTTGACTTGATGTCATCAGCGTCATGTATTTGTGACGAAGTGGGGGATGTGATTCACCACAGGAGTCGAGACATTTCGCCCCCTGTGACATGCTCAGTCGAGCACTTTGGATTTAGATGTGGATAATGGGATGACGTCGTGAGGGCTTAATTATTTATTAGTCATACAAGGACTGAGATCAAATCATTTGCAAGTTTAAAATGTGTGCCTGGAAAATGCTATCCTCTTACATCTTTCTCTTCCATTATGTTCAGTTTGAAGCTAAAAAGAAGAACTTATTATTTCATTTTTCTAGGTTTGCCTTATTCTCAGATTTATACCAGTGTCATCTTACATGTCTGTCATGACTTGTTCACAACAAAGTGATATGTTTCAGCATTTTCCTGACAGTGTTTTTGATGAGAACACTATGTTAGCACATTGCCAGACTGAGAGAACAAAAAAAGATTTCATTGCATGGTCCATAAGCTTTCACATGGTCTTGGTTTTACCCATATGGGTCTAAAACTCCTGTCAGAGTCAAACAGTCCACTAATCATCTCGCCTCCTTGTTGTTCTAACCCCTTCACCCTCTTCTATAGGGGGAAACCTCAATCCAATATGAAGCCCCTATGTCTTTAAGGTAAAACTGTATGTCCTTTGTCTTTTCTGCACTTTCATTTCAGTATTTCATGCTTATTAGTGAAAAGTGATGCCCCCACAGTGTAGTGATATTGAGTTTTGTCTGCTCACAGTCTTCGCTGTGATGTCAGGTGACAGGCCTTCAGACTTATTGCTTAGCTCAGCTTGGTGCCTGCTTGATCCAGACCAGATGAGACCTCCACATCACCCCCATCTCATCACTTCTGTTCATCAAATCTAATAAGGTCTTGACTGTGAAATTATCATACGCTCGAGAATATGATAGCAGCGATCTTGTTCTTTCATCTGATTACTCTCTTCGTGTAATGAAAGCTCCTAATCAGAAATAACAAACCCTCGAGGCAATGGAAGAAAGTGCAGCAGCAGTTGTAGTCGAGGTGAAACATCCAGAGAGTGTGACACACATGTGACAGGGCCGGCATCCAAACAAAATAATGATGTGCTGGCCTGGGCAGGGGCCATGGAAAACAGCTTGTTCTGGTTAGATCCTGACCGGTGTGTGTTTCTCCATTGAAGGCAGAGGTGCGAAGAGTCAGCGCAGTGGCACTGATCACAGTGTGACAATGGAGTGGCTTAGCTGTCCACTCTGTCTCTAGTGTCTGAGGTGATGACCAGGCTTAGAGGATCAGCAACTCTAGCAGCAGAGACAAAAATCAACAGGAAAGCATACAGCAAAAGGGTACAGATGCAAACCAATGGCAGTTTTATTGAATTTCCTACAGCACTGATTATTAAATCCACCCCTCACTGCAGATTAGGGACAGAGATGCACAAACATGTACAGTAAACTCTTTTATAGGGCTTATTTTTTCATGCATGATTACAGTTAAAGCAGAAGAGACATTTTTTCCATATGTACCACATGTTGTTTGGCTCAAAATGTAGAACCACAATCACATGCTCTCTTGATCCAAGGTGCAGGTCTTTATTCTTACTCTGCGACTCTATATACTGTGTAAATCATTTCAAGGCAAGGCATTTCTTAACCTTCATCCATATAGCATTTCTTCAAAAACATGTGAGGAAGTGTGGTTTGTCCTTCCTTGTTCTATGTGGGATTTACCCTCATTCCCCAGTTGACTCCCAGACTTCATGAAGTTACAGTTTCCAGACAGAAAAGAGGACCCCGTGCTTGTAATCAGCTTATGTAAATATCTTACTGACAAGGAATCGTTCAGACATTTCATCAAAGTGAGGGGCTAGTATTAGTTCATGTGTCCCCCAGGTGCAGCGGGATACCTGTTGGGATTGGAGAGCTCAAAAACTCTTCTGTTGATGAAGCTTATATAATATTTCATCATCTGGCAGCTATTTATAATACGAGAAGCATTTGGGCTAAGGATGGCCTTACGTAACTCAAAGCAAAGCTTGCAGGGTTGACATAAGCTGATGGCATGTGTTGAATTTTAGTTAGGGTTACTTCCCTTATGCAAAGGTGGAGGAATCCTCAGAGTGACTTACATAAAACTACGACAAGAAACTCTCAGTTTACATTGGCACTGGTGCCACCGCTGGCAAAGTTGTACCTCTTATCTCTTTATTGATCACATCCTTTTTGTTCACTTTGTTTGTATTCTAACAAAATAATTACCTCCTATTTTTATTTATTTATTTATTTTTGGTGAATATGGACTGTATATATTATGGTCAACTCTACACGGATTTGAAGCTGAATTGTTCTCTGTATATCCAGGATTTTCTCCTCTTCCTAGAGCCACCACTTGCACAGTAGCGTTGTACGCATTTGGTGGGAGAGTCACTGTGATGACGCTCTGATCAAACAGCATATCCTCCAGGTGAGCTATGCAATCTTCGTACGCCCATAGGCTGTATCAAGTGTCAATCATAAAAACATGAACCCCCTAATAACTTTTAAAAATTAAGCTGCACAGAAAAAAAGAGGACTTGAATACAAACCAGTCTTACAGTAACTTCATGTCAACATCACAACCAGGGGGGAGAAAAATTAACATTCTGTGTAATAAATTCTTAAAGTTTGTCCACAGCTCCATAGGGATTGCTGGAGGGGGCGGGATTATGACCTATACTGCAGCCCGTCAACAGAGGGTGCTGTTCTCGGGGTGGCTTCACCCATTGAGGAGGCGGACGCTGTCCATTCTATATAAAGTCTATGGTGGT